CAAATTTAGTATTTTCATCTTGTTTTTCACACATAACTTTTTCCAAATGTTCCTCACTTAAAAATTAATATGAAAATGAGCATGGTAGAATAAAAACTGTGAGTTGACAAATAAAAATTATTTTTATTTTTATTTGTTACTTTATTTAACCGCATCACTTTCATTTCGTTTCGTAGTTGCAATGACAGGTCACTTTATTTTCTGTCTACTCGCTTGTCTCGAACTTTCAACCAATTAGCACAATAATAGCTAAAAATGTTTCATAAAACTTGCATGCCAAGCTATAAATAACAATTAAAATTTCATACACAAGTGCAAAACACAATAAAACAATTTGCGGTTTTTTTGTGAAACATATTGCGAAGCAAACACACAATTTCATACAATGCGGTTAAATAACTAAAAACAACAACAATTAAACATGATCAAAACAGTAAAAATAATAATCATATGAGAAAGAAATGAAAACACAAATTGTGCTTATTCAACTGAATAATACTTGTTTACGAAAAAATTAAATATACAAAAAATATATCAAATAAATAATAGATATATAAAAATATATACAAATATATAAAAATATATGAAAATATGTACAAATATAGAAAACTATACAAAAATGTAGAAAAATTTACAATGATATACAAAATATTTAAAAATATATATACAAATATTTAATTTATAAAAAAAAAAATAACAAGTAACAAAATATATACAAATTTATGAAATACATAAAAATGTATAATATATATAAAAATATATTTAATATATAAAATATATTAACCTATATACAATTATGTAAAAAATGTGTGAAATATTAAAAAAAAATATAAAAAATATATAGAAATATATAAATTGTTTAAAAATTAAGCATTTACAATTTATAGCTTTATCTGTAGTGGACAACAGCTATTAACTACAGAACTTATTTGATTCTAGCATTAAACCTCTTAAACGTAGTTTGCTCCATTTCCCAACCTCCAATATATAACTTATATAAATTTTGCAGTTGAAGCTGCAAAACTATTAAAGATATATTTTTTATCAATTTAATATACATACTTTATGCGACTTGCATCATTTGCGCTATATTTATCTAAAATATGTAACTATAAAAACAATTTAAAGTCCCTCGCAACAATATGCATACATATATATTTAAGGGATATTTTATTTTATTTGTAATTTTATATATATTTATAACTTTATCGAAATAACTTAAAGTAGAACACAATTTGATAAAAACTCGAACTGGGGGAGCTCTGAAATTTCCCAATAATTTACACAGTCTGATTTTCTATTGTTAGTTTTTATTTTCATTTAACATTTAAAAAATACAATTTTACGTATTGTCATTGTCTCTAAAATGTATCATCAACACAATGAGGATATTTTATTTGCCTAACAGACCAGCTGAGTCCCAATTATCACATAATCTTATTAAATCATTATTGCATAGTCCAATATCAGTTGGTTTTAAAAATACTAAAAATAGTTACTTAACTACTCAAGGTTATACGGTATACCACTCCGTATAAATATATTCATAAATATATTCGCAAAGAAACTGAGCGAATCCAATATACTCATTTCACTTTATGAACAAGCATAAAAAGGTGAAAAATCGTATCGAGTTTGAGGTTAACCCAGCTAAAGCAAGCCGGAAACAGTTCACTTGCTCTCGCTCTCTCTCTCTCTCTTTCACTCACGCACTACCTACAAAGTGTTTTTCTCCCCTTTTTTTATTGGTCCCTCATGTTTATGTTGTCAGCTTGTTCTTGCTTTTTTTTCTGGTATTTTTTTTAGCTGTGTAATCGAGTCAATTGTTTCCGCTTCGACGATGAGGCAATCGACTGCGTCTGTTTTTATGGGTTCGGGTTTTGGTTTTGGTTTGGGTTTGGGTTTGGATTTTGGGTTTGTGTTTCTTTATTGTTGTTGTTGCTGTTGTTGTTTTATGGTGTTGATATTGGCAACATCCGTTTAGAGAGGCAAAAAGTTTTCCTTTTTTTGCTTTTGTTTTGCGCTTGTGGGCGTTTTTGACATGGGCTAATAAGCTTGTTTCGGTCTGTCATTTTTGACAGAGATGCGAAACACTTGTTTTTCGACCAGATTGCTCATTTAATGGGCTTTTAGTTGGATATATGTATACATATGTTGGCCTTGCCTTTTGATTAAATCTTTAATGGGATAATTTATGTGATATATATCATTTTAAATATGAATGCTGTATATATATCTGCGCAAGGTTATTGCAGCAGTATTTTAGGATGCACTATTAGCAGTATTCATCGACTATCTTGATTGGATACCCAAAACCATCAGAAGCAACTATAAAATAAAGAAAGCTTTGTTTCTTCAAGATGAACTTTTCAACCTTTTCGATTGACTGCTAGAATAGCTCTCAAGGTATATAGGCTTTATATATATATACATATATATTGAAAGAAAAAATTCGGCTGACCAAACGAGAATAAAACTATATTTCAGCAACTGTTTAAGATTTGCCATTTGACCAGAATTTAAGCATTTACAAATATTATTGTATTTTATTGCATTTTAATATATATATACATATTTTATATAAAATTAAAATTACTCAAAAGCTTCTGCAAATATTATTGAATGTGAATTATTCTTTTAATCCACTTGCATGTTTTGAAAATTCACATATTTCATTTACTTTATTTTCATTTAATTACCCCACTCTAATTTTTATGACTTGATTCTTCGGAAAATTTAGGACTCACTCATTAAGATTCCTCTAAGCATCTTTTGTTGGCACTTGGAACGTTAACTGGGCGACATAATTAGCCCTTATTTGCCCATTTTATGGCCCGCACCATAAAATGGCAATTTAAATTACGAAGGACAATGCTGTACAATTTGTTTATAGGCATCGAGTTGGGCTAAGAGGCGCCAAATTGGCCAAAGACAGCAAAGAGAAGCCGAAAGTCGAAGCTTTAAGGCAAATTGTACGCTGTGAACTTAAAGCCGCTTACAATTTGAACGCATTGTGGACAAGCCGCTTAACTTGCATAATCCAAATATCTGCCCACAACGCACTGCAGACTCTTGACCCTTTTCCGATCCCTTTTTTTGTCATTTTGGTTTCGGTAGGTAGCGCCCAAAAGGCCATCAAAGTTGAATGCGATTGCGTGTCTCATGCGGGCGGCGGTCATCATCGAGTGGCGAGCGTAGAATTGCTTCTTAGGTCATAAAATTTCAATAGCTAGGGGTTCAAGTATGGCCAGCCCCGATAGAGCTTCCAGGGTGCAGTGACTTTGTCTGCAGCTGTGTTAAAACTGGCTGCGAACATAAACTGGTTAGGCTTTTATGGACCTTAGTTAAAGTTGACCCAACTGCCAATGGCCAACCCCTAAAGCGCAAATTCTTTCAATTTTCAGCTATAATTCGCAAGTTGTTAAAGGAACCAGCGCATAGATATATGCGGCACTTTCTTGATCAAAGCACAACCTTGCGCTGTGGCAATATCGCCAACAATGAGTTGACAACCGAGTTGCGATTATTGCTAGTTGAAAACTTTAACCAATAACTCGCCCTGAGTGAGCTCCGCTCGCCCTGAGGCAATTTTTTTGATGACTCGAAAGGGTCGATTATGAAATAAATATTAAGATTAAGAAATCCACGAAAGTAGTCAGAGCACAACTAGGAGATAACTAGTGTCAAGCAGTTGGTAAACGTGATTGAATTATTCAGGCAACATATTAGAATTATAATAATATAATAAAATATCATAATAATTGCTGGTATTTTGTGTAGCTATGCATGGCTATGACGGATAGTAGAAAAGACAGATCCATCGGGTTCCACAGTAACTCCATGTCACCCTCAGGTAGACCGTTCTTAATTGATTCTGCTGTTTTTTTGGTAAATTTATTGTGGTTGTACGAATGGGTTAATCCTCTGAATTAATTAATCTTTGGAGTGGCAGATAGCCTAGGGCATATTGCATTTACCTGACAAAAATCTATGCTTACCTCATTAAAGCAAATGAAGGGGCCATCTCAGAAACGTAAGCTTAGAAGAATGTAGTCTAAATTGAATTTAAATTCGATTGGTTAAAGCAACTTAGATTCTCTCAAATTACATTTAATATCGATTTCTAACGATTTCATGGAAATGGACATAGTTTTTAATGCCTTGAGCCAAACTCTGTCTGCCGCATACTATTAGAGGATCTCTGAATTCGAGATCAACGGAGAGGCAGACATAGAGACAGTCTGTCTGGCTGCTAAATCAACTTAATTTACTTTATGGGACCCGCCAAGCTACACCGCTTATCAAAGTAGTTATTTAGTGAAAATCATTTATATGCCTTACATATGTTTCATAATCATCATTTTCATCATTATCATCAACCATATTGTATTAAAATATTCAATCATACTTTATCATTGTTCCTGATGATCGTCAAGAAAGCGATGTATTAGCAAACACTTTATAAGCAGAAGTAAGGCGGAAGACGATGCTTTCGATGCAAAGAACAGCAGCTGCTGGAACGGTGGTAGAAACTTCCCTTCCTGCTTCCTGTTCCGTCGAGATGCTTGAACATGAGTGCAAAGTGGAGAATTTGGCGACTAGCGGCTGCAGACTATAGCATCGTGGAAAGCAAAACAATTATCCCCCATCTATATCGATTTGATACAAATGCTCTCTATGCTCATAGTTATCCGGCCGCATCTACTGTGAAAATGTAATGGACAAAAGGTGGAAATGTGCAGACGCAAAGATGCTTGGAAAAGAGTCTGAGAGCTCGCTGAAAACCTTTACGGCGGAACATATAGAATCTAGAACATCTCGATCATCAAAAATAAAGAAAATATAGAGATATTTTTAAGTTCGAACAAATAGGCAACCTGCAGTTGGAGTTCTTCATTCCCCATTCAATTCAAGCGCTCCCCCATTTCAATTAATTAAACTAGCATTTATAGTTCCTAATAATATTTTATTATATTTTAACAATTACAAATGCTATTTGTATGAATGTTGCAAGCGTTCAGTGCTCTCTACTCCGATCTCTTCTTCGACTTTTTCTTCTTTTTCACACTGGTTGTGCTGGACATTTGGCCGAGCGATGAGTAGCCCGTGGAAGTGGAGTCGCGACTCTCGCGATAAGTGCGCAACGGCTTACGCTTCAGCCAGACGCGCATGATAAAGTTCAACTCGCCCTTCAATGCCACCATGGGCTTTACCTGCAAGAGAACACGCGTGATAATTCGAGTCTCTATAGGATTGAGCGAATATCTTACCCTTTCCTTGAGCGCAATGCGATGCACGTGCCAGAGGAACTCCATGATGCCGATGACAAAGGAAAAGAAGACGCCCACAATGAGCACCACAAAGAGACCGCCCACAGCATCCATATCGAACTGGCCATCATCATTGACCGAGCCGCTGACGTCACACATGGTTTCATTATTATTGAACCACTTGCTCTTTAGATTATAGAGTACACCCCGCTCGCTGAGCTTTAATATGCCCACACTAAGATTTGATCGAAAGTGGGCATCTGAAAGTATAGTTTTCAGACTAAGCATCTACAAGTTCTGCTTAAGTTCTTCACTCACTCAAAGGTACCGCAATGCCGTAGTGCTTCTCTCCGAAGCTCTCGCCTATCTGGGTCAGCTCACAGTTGCGTTGCACGTAGTACTGCAGATTGGTGGTCTCCATGAGGAAAGCGTAAGTGCCACGACTCACCTTCACACGATCCACGCCCTCCTCATTGTTCTTGGTGAAGGCATCCGGCTTCACGGACAACATCTTGTTCCAGGCCATACGATTTTCGGTGTCGTTCGATTCTGAGAAATAAACTGATGTCGCGCCGCCGCGTATCGTACCAAACTGTACTTTATTCTGATCAATCAGATCATGCAATGAGGCTATATTTCCCGTCATCTTTGAGGACGTAATGAAGGCAGCCAAACTGGCAATGTAAGTTTGCGAGATGAGCAGCGCAAAGATCCACCAAAAGGCAGTTAGAAGACGCATCGGAAGACCCCTGCGAAGTAGAGGGAAATAATTAATCAAATTTAGTCCTCTTAAATGACGAATATTAGATGCTCTTTCCGGCAGTAGAACTAGTTATGTTTGCCAGTTCGGCTTTCTTTTGCTTCTCAATCCCCACATGCCATCCCAAGATGACAATGATATTAATAATGCCGATTACAATAATAATGCTAATAATTCTAATGATCTCCATGTCAACAAAATTTATGATTAAAATGATGGCTCGACCTTCCTAACACACCTATGACCGATCAGAAATTCAAGTAAAAAAGGAAGCTTATGTTTTTGCTTGCTCAATTATAACAAAATACTTATACTGTATACGTACACATGTATGTGTGAATATTCGTGGAATATTCTCCCAAGTCCATCAACTCAATCTTATTTGTGACCATTTTCATCTAACTTCTATTTCGGACTGCATTATGCTTCACACTTATTCCCGCGCAATACATACACACAGTATTCACACTGATTTCCTGACAGCTCTCAGCTGTGCACTATATTTCTCTCACTCTAATACATTGTCGGGCCGGGGCTATGCAAAACAGACTAAACTGTTAGGCTCGCTAAAGAAGAAGGAGGATAGAAGAGAATTGCCGCTTCTTTTCTCACTTCTTTTATTAGCGATGGAACTTTACCTTAGATATCGAACTTAGGGCTGAACGTCCTGAAACAAATTCAAAAATTCGATAACGATGCCACCACATGTACCGAAGCTATTCCCCAATTTGTAAGATGAAATACAAGTCTAGGAAATCGCATTCAAATTTAATTGCAACACTGAACTAGCACTCCCTTTTTTAATCTAATCATATACATAGTTAATATACCCAGAGTCTATTGCTATGAAGTTGAGGTTTTGTTTGCTGATGGAGCTCTTTGTTTGCCAACCTACAGCGGGCTTTAGTAACAAAAGTTAGAGTTAGAAAATAGGCCAACTCACCTGGGCAACAGATCGCAGCCCTGATTGAGTATGGAGCCCAAGACCAGCCACATGGTATTGTGTAAGTGCCAGGTGTTTTCGCGCACTTCCTCACGCTGCTCATTTATGACAGATGGCTCCCATTCGTATGGATCCATGCGACCGGCTAATATCAATGCCATCGCAGTAATGAGCATGGCCACCATGACGTAGAGCCAAACGTCCACACCGTAGGGATTGAGAAATCCATAAATATCGGCCTGTGCCGGGGGCTGCTTATAAGACAAAATGCTAATGCCCAGCTGCATGAATGGCACCGTAAAGTCCACAACCGAGCGACGGGCCTGAGTTATGGTCAAATCACAGATGCCAATCTGTGCATTCTGCCCGAATGCGAATCAAGAGGGTTAAACAATAATTTAAATGTTAATGCACTGACCGCACACACTCACATTGTCAATTAGCTGCCTGATTATGCCGTCCCATTCATCAGTGGCTGCATCGTAGCTGCCATATTTGTTATCCCTCACCGGCTCGAAAACGAAATCAAATTTGCATTCCCTCGCCAGCTCGTAGATCAGGTCGACCGCATAGCCCTCGAAACGCTCATTGCCCTCGAAGTGCACGCCTTCCGGCTCCTTACTTTTAAGATGGCAACTTTAGTTAAGCTTCAGCTTCAATTTGCCGCTATACGTACCGCCAGCTAAAATAGGGTTTGCCCACGCGAGTAGCCACTGTATATACAACGGGCTTACGTGAGAAATCCTCTTTGTTCTCCAGACGTCGCTGCTTTAGGGCCTGCGTCGAATTCTCTCTGATCTTATCGAAATCTACCAGCTGAAAATCCTTGTTCCAGATGTGCGTTACGCGATCAATGATCGGATTATAGACCTCCAAGTTGAAGTCCTCGCGCTGCCCATCTTCCGTCAGCTGCAATCGCTGCGTTTTATAGGGCGGCTTGATTTGCTTCGGTGTGAGCTAAATTAATAATGATAATAGTGATAAAAAAATATTAATTAAATTAAATATACACAAAAATATAAATAACACAAAATAAAAATAAATGAAAATATGAAAACTTTTCAAAAATCGAATGAAAAAAATTTATGAATTTAAAAAGTAATTTTAAAAAACTTTTGATCAATTTTAAAGGGTTCAAAAATAAAAAAATGTAGTTATCTTTTTTAGCTTTAGCCCATAACTAAGTCTAAATATAAAAGTTTCTTCAATCATCTAATTACTCATATTCAGCAGCTTCATATTGCAGGTACAAAGATACATAAAATACTTAGCATAAATAAATTAACATAAGTTTGTGCTGTTATAGTAGACTATTATAGCAGAGCCTTTTCTAAAATGTCTACATGCAGGAATACCCTTAATATAGGTATTCCTTTCTTTATTGCTTAAAAAGAAGCATTAATAAAAATTCAAAATGTTATTCCTTCTCCCTTCGTTTCTCACCTCTTTCATCTGCTGCACTAAGAGCGGGCCGGGCTGCCAAAAGCCACGCCCACAGCTAAACTGTGGCGTATAGAAACCAGGCTTCTGGCTCAATTGGAGTACAGCATTGTAGAGCAGAACTACGGCATCATAGACAAGCTGAGCGCTCAACGAGGCGAACTGTTAAAAGAAAGAGACACTTTAATAAATTCCACACTTTTCCAATAATCAAATATTCTGCGATCGTACCCGATCGTCGACCTCATGATCAAAAACATCAGTCTCATCATGAATAGGTGGCGGGATATAGGAACGAATTCTAACAGCTGCAACGGCGACTGAGAAATCTCGTGAATAAAACTGATCAATGCGGCTGATGTGCGTATTCAAATCGGTAAGAAAAAGATTCTGAAGAGAAATAGATATAGAGAATATAACTGAGTTCTTATTATGTAGTCGAAACTATCTACACACATTTAAGGAGCCCGTCATATTGAAACCGATCGAGGCATTGATCACCTCCACCAATATATCGGACGGGCAGTCGAGCAGCACGAACTTCTCACGCGCATTGCTGATGCGTTTCCAAAGTATGCGATAGTCATCGCCACGCTGAAACTCCTGAAGCTTAATGCCAGTCTTATGCAGCTGCTTCCAGGCAAAAATGTGCTGCAATCGTGCGAGATCTAAAGGCGAGTTGAAATCAGAATTAATAAGAGTTAGTAAAAGATAATTAAATTATAGTTAATGCAAAATACAAATATTTTAAATAATAATTTAAAAAATATTATAAATAAAATAAAGCATTAATAATAACAACGAACTAAAATATAATAAACATTTTTATATATTTAAAAAAATAAATACTTATTTTATTTATTAATACTTTGTATTTCAAATCTGTCATTTCTAATCAAATTCACTTACGCGTCTCTCTTTCATAGGCAATCGTAAATGATTTCCAGTCAAAGTCCTTGCTGCGCAGTATATCCGCGAGAGCCGTCGATATGATTAGCTCTGAGGGCGCAACGTTGATGCTCAACTGATGATTGAGGCGTTCTCGCATGGATTGCTGTGGATGCCAGTCGAATTGCAGATGCGGAATTCCCGTCATGTTGCACAGAACCTCAACGATATCTGCAAGCACTCAGGAAAAGAGGTATTCGTACGGATTTAATTCATCCACAAAATGTATATTTTTGTATAGAATGACTTGGCGAACTAACAAAACATACAATGAAAGTGCAGAGCAAAACAACGCAACGAAATAAACGAATCGCATTTGGCTGGCAACGGGCCAATAAACCACTCGTAAGTGTCCCATTTGTATATGCCGTACATATATACACCTATATATATTCATATAGCTGACGAGCCGCGTCGTTTATTTACTGCAAAAATATTTGTTTGGGCCAATTTGATGCGAAACATCAAGAATCATTAACGAGGTTAGTGGCATAAATATTGAGCATCTATTGGTATAGCTCTCGCTCTCTCACTCTCTCCCTACCTCTCTCAGTCTTCCGCTTTCTTTCTCTCTGACACTCGCACACACTCTCTCCCTCTCTCTTTCTTTTTTATGAAAACTGATTTTCTTAATCTCTGAGAATTACGAGAAGGCAACAGCAAGCACCATTCGCCCTCTGCCAGACGTGATTTTATGACGTTGAGTTTTTGTTTAAAAATAATTTTAACTTTTAGCCGCTGGCCGCGCACATTATTAGTGAAGAAAGTTGACTTACCGCTGGTTGTCTTTGAACTTGGTCCGAAAATAGCTACGACACCATTTCCAATCAAGTCACAGGCTATTAGAAATCATTCAATATAAGATCACTTCAGCTAAGTTCTAATTCAGACAACTCACATAGATCCTGCAGCACTATGCTATCATCTATAGTCACATAGTGCTTGATGGCTTCCAGTTGCAGCTCTGGCGTTAAGGCATTTACTTCCTCCACGGCTGCATCAAAGGCCTCAGCCAAATTCATTTCAGAATCAAAAAAAATTGCGCCTGTATTATATATAGAAAAATATATATAAGAAAGTATATCAATATAAAATAGATATTTTATGCAAGCAAAGAATGTTTTATTTATTTGGCGAGTCACAGTTTATATACACTTGTGGGAAAAGAGATTAATATTATATTATACTTCTTAGAAGGGTGAAGCTCTTAACATAAACAAATTCTTAGTTAAATGAAGATTGCATGAAAAATATGGAACACTCAGCTTTCGCCAAAATTATATCTACAGAGCGACATATATAGTAGAAAGATCTAGAACTTTATTGTATAGTTTGAGCAAACTAAGTTAAACTATAATACAAATGATAGAACAACGGTTAGGAATATCTTTAATAAACACACATATGATACAGTGCAAAGATCTGGTTTCCATCCATATACTGCATCAGCAAAAGAGATGTTGAAAAGAATAAAATTTATCTAATCTATATTAAAACTTATTTTACTGTGGGAAACTTACAACAAATTAAGAATTAAAATTTCATAATGTATTATTCTACTAATATATAAACTATTAGCTTGAAAGCAACAAATTTTGATAAATAAAATCATAAACAAAAATTTTAGGCACAAAAAAAATTTATAAAATTATTTTGAAAAAATTCAATTTTGAGTAAAAAAATATTTTGACAAAATAAAAATATGTTCACAATTTAAGCAGATAAATTTTAAACAGAAAATTATAATATATAATATATACAAAACTAATATTATCTTGAATGTAAAAAATATTTGCAGGTAAATTTTTAACGAAAACAATATTTTTCATAAGAAAATATATTATCTTTATATTCAAGATAATAAAAAATATTTTGACAGAAAATAATTTTTTGGACATTAAATAGTTGATTCTAAAATAAAAAGAATACAATATATAGTAATTAAAAATAAACATTATTTTAGACAAATAAAAATATATTGACAATTTAAATATTTAAATTTTCAACAAATAAACATATGTTGTTCACATATATGTTGTAAAATGTATCTATGAAATTAAAGTGAAAAAAGCAATATAAGCAATACCAACTCAACTTTGCGGACTATTGTGAAATGTATATATATATATTAATTTTAATATATATAAATATATATAATAATCATTACATTACCCATATATAACTGAAATATTACCAATTTTAATGACCAAGCCATCTTCAATATTTGCACCGCTGCTTAAGGTAAATGCGGCCAAAAGTAGGAACTGTATTATAAACATGTCTCTATAGCTAAATTCAAATCAGCATGATTATTTATTAATTTTTTATATTTATATTTTTGTCAAATATATATGTCTATAGTTAACATTTTGAGTTTTATATAAGGCGTTGCACAAAAGACACTTCACTATTCACTTCACAATTCACTTTATCCACATGCATATACATATATATACACACATATATTTATATATATAAATATATATATTTATATTTCAAATATAAAAACAAAACGAGCGTAAAAAATATTCCATGAAATGACGACAGCACCAAATGGAAGCCAATCGATGCCAACTGGGCTCTGGTCGGGGGCGCTGCTCTCGAAGCACTGAGCCAGCTAAAAATTTTAAGAAATTTTCAAATGTTTTTTTGGAAAGCAGCAAACAACGAAATGCGAGTGCTGCTTATTTTAGCAGACATTTCTTAGACAGAGAGAGAGCCATTTGTTTTATGGACAAGTCAACCAAATTGGTGGACCTACAATGCTTTTCAGGCCACACAGACTATGACATGAGCTGCTGCTCTTTCTGCCACTGGAAATGAGCCAAATTAATGGAAATCTAGCGTGTCAATAGCCCACGCAGCGAGCTGTGTAGGGTGACCAAAAAAATGGTGGGCCGTAAAAAGCAATATAGAATTTCTATATATACTACGTGAAGGAACAGACAATTATTACAAAATATTTTAGCTGAAACTTGTTTTGTTTTTGATCAAAATTGACTTTTATTCAACAGATTTGCAAATTTCTTTAACGAAAACTGAATGGTCTAGACTTATTGACTAACTGATCGTTTTGCTGCGCGTTTTCTTGGAATTGGAACTGCGCCTGGATGCTGAGGATCTGCGGGAGGACTTATCACCTCCGCTGCTGCTGCTGCTCGATATGCGCATCGGCTTCTTGCGCACCCAAAACTGCAGTGCAAATATCAGTTCCGCTTTCAGCGCCTGCCAGGGCGTCACACGCTCCTCCACGGCCACATTCTGCACATTCCACAAAAACTCAAAGATGCCCAGGATGACGCCAGTCAGCACTCCGCCAGCCAGCACCAGAAAAACGCCACCCAACTCTATGATTGACAACTCATCGCCATCGACCTCATGAAACGATTCGCACGTAACGTTGTGGTTCTTCCACCACTTGTTCTTCAGCTTATAGAGCTCTCCCTTTTCGCTCAGCTGCAGTATGGAAACGCTCAAGTTGGTGCGATAGTCGGCGCCTAAAAATAAATATAAAGTAATTTAAAGAAATATAAATATATATATTAAATTAAAGTAAAATGAATAAGTAAAACGTGAAGGGAAATAGTTATAAATATCTTGGCATATATTAAAATTTTTTATTATTTTAAAAATTATCTGCACATTTCAATATGTACTTAAATGGTTTTCTATTCTAAGTTAGATATAAACTGATTATTATTATATATATAATAAATAAAAATAAAATAAAAAATAATTCAACAATATACAAAGTAATTTAAAAAATTTTTTTAAAAACATAAAAGCAAATTATATTAAAAAATTTTCTTAAAAAAATCAATAGTATAAAAATTGTCGAAAACTTACATTAAAATTGTAAATATTTTTTTATGGAAACAAAAAAAATATATTTGCAAAAATGCTATAAATTGTATTATATATAAATTATATTATATAAATAATAAATATATATATAATAATAAATAAAATAAATATATATGAACAAATTTTAATAAACCATTCCAACTATTAAAATACATAAAATGGTTTACAAAAATAAACTAAAAAAACAATTTTGATTAATTTCTTTAAAAGTATAATATTTAAAAAAATAATATATATTAAAAAAATTTATGTGACACGCTAAATAATTATATTAGTTTGATTCATGGCAAGTAAATGTTGTTAGGCTACTAAAATTAACGTTATCTTAGCCAAAGCCTAAGTTATTTTAAACAAAACTAACAGCTAAGAGCTTCTTCTATGGCAATACTATATGCATAAACTAGCCTTAGTACTTAGAAATCAAGTCTAAAGGAAGTCTCAAGTCTCGCCTTACCCAACGGAACGGCTAAGCCGTAATGCTTTTCTCCAATCTGTCCGCCGATTTGTCGCAAGTCGCAATTCCGCTCAATATTGTATGTCATGCTGGTGGTCTCCATGAGGAAGGCGTAGTTGCCCTTCTCCTTGCGCACACGAGCGACGCCCTCCTTGTTGGTGCTAGTGAAGCCCGACGGATTGAAGCCCTTCATTTGATTCCAGGCACGCTGATAGTCGGTGTCATTGGATTCAGAGAAGAACAGCGAAGTGCTGCCGCCGCGCATGCTGCCAAACTTGACCTCATCCTGCTCAATCAGATCCTGCAAGCTATTGATGGTGCTCTGCCACTTGTTGCTGGTCAAGAAGGCAGCCAAGTTGGCCGTATACGTGCTGAGCATCATCAGCGCAAAGAACCACCACATGCCAGTCAGAATGCGCATATGCGGACCCCTGGAAGATGTGCAAATGTGTTTAGATCAAGCTGAAACCTTGGACGAGCAGCTGCTCAAACCTGGGCAATATATCGCAGCCCTGCTGCATAATGGAGCCAACCATTAGCCAGCAGCTGTTGTTCACATTCCAGATATTCTCCAGCTCGTCGGGATCCACAATAGCCGGATTTGGTGGCATCCACTCGCGATAGGAGAGCCTAAAAGGGATTGAAATCAATACAAGTTCGAGTAGCTAAAGAGAGAGTTTGCAGCTCACCTGGCAATTAGGACAAAGGCCAGGGTCATCACTAGCTGCGCAAAGATCATATAGATCCAGACTTGCGGCGCAAACGGCTCCAAGAAGGCAAACGGATTCTTCTGCTCCGGCGGACTCTTGTAATGCAATATGCTAATGCCCAGCTGCATGAAGGGCACCGTAAAATCCACAGCCGAGCGACGCAGCTGCGTTATGGTCAAGTCAGAGACACCAATCTGAGCGTGCTATAGGAATACAAATATATATCATATAATAAGATCGATCAACTTAAGACAACTCACATGATCTATTAGCTTGCGTATTACGCCATCCCATTGCTTGGTCTCGGGATTGTATTTGCCATTGCCATTGACAATCATGAACTCGTAATCGAACTCCATGAGCTCGGATAGCTTTCTGATTAGGTCCACTGCGTAGCCCTCATACTTTTCCTGTCCCCTGAAGTTCTCATGATCTTGCCTGCAAAAAGATAGCCATTACCTCCAATTATATACCAGCATTTCAGGCACTTAGACCTACTTCATCATAAAGTACGGCTCCTCATGATGTGTCACCACGGTGAAGACCTTGCGCTGTATCGAGAAGTCCGGCGTAGCTGCCGAGCTTTCCAATTCCGGGTTTAAGCGCCTTACTTTAATGCCATTATCTGGCGTCCAGACCATCAGCGGCTCGTTGACAGTTGGCTTATAGATCTCCAGATTGAAGTGTGTGCGCTGGCCGAACTCATCGATCTTCATGTTCTCCGTCTTGAAATGTGGCTCGACGTCATCCTCCGATATGGTTTTCATCTCTTGTACTATATGCGCACCCATTATCCAGGGACTGCCATAGCCCTGACCACAATGGCTGTTGGGTGGGTAAAACTGCTCCAAGGCAGCGATCACATTGCGCGCCGAGTTGGCAAAGAGCACGACAGCATCGTAGATGAGTATAGGCAACATCATTTGACTGCCAAGTATTTGCTAGGGTTTCAGATGCATTAACTAATCTGATCGATCGGTATTCAGACTCTACTCACATCAACTTGAGTCAAACGCGTCTTCTTGCGCTCGTAGGGATTGGGATCGACAATCTTCATTCGCACCGAGGTAATATTCGCCTTGAAGTCTTCATTGTAGATGTCCTTCAAGCCCGAACTGTGCGTATCCAGGTGAGTGAGAAACCAGTGCTGAAATTCGACATAGTTTCACAAATTTAAGGTTTTTGCTAGATCAAGTGCTATACTTACTCTGAATGGACCCTGCAGCTTAAAGTCTACAGAGATTTTCAGCAATTCTCTCAAGGATTTCGGCTCACAGTCCAATATAATGTGATGCTCGTGAAATGTTTCGTCTGCTTCCTTCCAGAGTACGCGATAATCCTCAGCATAATCTGCCAAATTGCGCAACTTGAGATAATCCGTATTCAGGGCGTGTATATTCATAAGATCTTGCAAGCGAGCGAGACCTGAAATATAAATTATTAGAAATAATATAATAATACAATTTCTAAAAATACTTGTTTACTTAATCATATTATAACTGTAATATATTATACCTACTATTATATACATATATAGTACTAATCCACATACTCTGTATGTATTATATAGTTAATATCTATAATATAATATGACGCGATATTGTGAGTTTAGCAGTCAGTTTTCTAAGTATCCCACTGTTTCAGAAGTGTCAGTCCAATGCTGACAGCTAGTGTAGGTTGTTGTAAAAATATTGTCCGAATGGGTTTGTGTCTTAGCTGCACGCTTATCATTTCTGGCTTGTATCCTCTAATTCTTACTCCGTAAGAGAGAATGAGAGAGTGTGGGCATCTAATATAACTGTTGCTGAACGTAGTAGCGAGTGTAGCTGAGTGAGAGCAGGATGGCTACTCAGGTCTTGCATGCAGGCTCGATCCAATTGGTATTCTCGGAAGGTATTCGTTGTAAAAGTATAAAATTATAATAGAAAGTGACCAAGTTGAGTCAAAAACGACATCAATTTATATATAATATAGTCAACTCAAGTCCATAGCTCTAACACGTTATAGCATTAACCTATTGGCAAGCTCTGCAAAGTCAATCCAATTCGAATATTAGCCCATCCCTTGCAGCTCAGCTGTTGCCGCAGCTAAAACATAAATTTCACTTGCAAATATCTCAACAGCATCAACTCACCCTCGGGCGTTTCATAGATTAGCGTAAATGTACGCCATTCATAGTTGGTCTTGATGATATCGTAGTAGGCACGCGACAGAGCGGATAAGGCAGGTGCAACGTTCACAGTCATTTGATTGTTCAAATGTTCCTGACGTGTCGCCTCGAGCTTCCAATCGTATTCTATATGTGGAATGCCGGTCGTGTTAGCGATTTGCGCTACAATATCTGGGCGAAAACGATTACAAAACACAGAATCCAACAACATCTGTTGATCAATGAAACGGCAAGACACTAGGCCACTCGTACATACCACTAGCTGCCTTTGAACTTGGGCCGAAAATAGCCGCAACGCCATTGGAAATCAGTTCACAAGCTAAACCGGAATATATATACAAATTTATATATACGTATATATTGAGTAGAGTAAACACTTACTGATCCGTTGCAACAGGAAGCTATCGTTGGTTGGCATATAACGTTTGATGGTGACAAACTGTAGGTCAGAGAATTTTAGATTGTTGACCTCACGAAAGGCCTGATCGAAACTCAATTCGATTTCCTTTTCATTTTCATAGAAAATAGCACCTGTGAAGTATTTACATTATTTTATTTTTTTTTTTTATAAATAAATATGGGTTTTTGTAGTACATACCAACTGGAATTTTCGTGTGCCCCTCGACGCCAACGACGAGGGCACATTTTAAAAATAACACCAAGTAAATGTTGACTGGATACAAATGCATTTTGTTTCATTTCAAATACAAATACCACGAAATTCTAGTTAGACAGCGTACTCCAATTGGATTTTTCTAAATGCAACAGCCATTTCATTTACTTGTATATATTTATATATATATTTATGCTTGTATATACACTCAAAAATTACGTAAAATTTTCAAATTTTTTATTTATTTTTTGTTGTTTTTTTTTTTTTTAGATTATTTTCAGCTGTTCGCTCCAAGCGACCGCAGCATCCAGTCTTGGAGCGCTAAGCACGCACACTGACCAACCGGCCTAACTGTGTCCGCTCTCCATTCGACAATTTTCATTTCGACATGCTCAGCTTTGCTCTGCTCTGCGCTGCTCTATGTGCTCTCTGCTCTTGGGGAAGTGCCATGTGCCATGTGCCTTGTGCCTTGTGCCATGTGGCACGGTCATATTTATGGCGCCTGACAATGACGTAGGCGGCATCCAGTCTGCCGTGTCTTTGCCATTCTCACTTTTATTTATTATTTTTTTGTTCTCACACACACACACACATACAGACTTACTCACACACATAATTCTGTGTGTCAGCAGCTTTTCATATTGTGTGCCAAATATTATGATGATCGCGCTTTTGTTCGATCTTGGCAGCATTTTGATCTTATACGAGTAGTGCTTGATCGCTCTTTGATCTTTTCAAGTGTTCCTCATGTTTTTGATTGAACGAGTTGAAATTCTAATGTGCATGTCTTCGGCAATCAAACGAATCAAACAAGTTTGTTGTTTTAGAAGAATTGAGCAATGTGCATAGGTATTATGGAAGATCTTAAATATTTTGCCCAATCGCGATCAGTCGTTCGACCTGTAAAGACGTGAATTCGAACAGCCTTCGCTTAAGCTCTACTGCTGCAGAGTTCTAAAAATAGAACTTTGCGGTGCATTCTTCAACGCAACAGCAACAAAAACCGCACACGCAGCGTTTTCTTATCGCTTGCTTCCGCGTAACTCAATTGCTTTAATTGCAATTTACGAAATTTCGTCGCTTGGCGCGAGTGCGCCTGCACTCAAAAGCACAATCCGCGATGACATCTAATGTCAATAACCTCGCTACAGCTGTAAAGGTAAATGCAGAAATGCAAGCCCAGCTTAACGTTGTGATGGCAAATAGGCAAGCCTCCATCATGCCAATAAACTCAAAAATAGATATCGCCTCCGTGCAAGGCATCACTAACAACAAAAACACGAAACGTAAACAGCCAAATTCACCAAAAACCATCAAGAAAAGGCTCATCTTCGACGAACCAAGCACCAGCAATGCAGCATTAATATCAGAAAATCGATTTTCACTGCTCGTAGAAGAAGATGAAGACTACAGCGAATCACCTGTAGCTCCAGAAGCCCCAGTATTGACCGACCAGCAAACTACTCCGAAACCTCGTCCGCCCCCCATATGGTGTCCAAACATCAAGTCTGTGGCCCTACTTCAACAGATAATAGATAAAGTAATTGATGCTAAATCATACGTAATTAAGCCAAAGAAGAATAACATAGGTGTATTAACCCAATGCAGTGAGGACTATCGCAGAGTTATAGACCACTTTACTAAGCTGGAATTGGAGTTCCACTGCTACCAGCTTAAGGAGGACAAACCATATAGAGTCGTGTTCAAAGGGCTTCACTCCAGCACTGATACAACACTAATTAAAAAGGAATTGGAAACCAAAGGCCACACAATTACAAATGTGCACAACCCACTGAGCCGTATGGACAAAACACCGCTAAATATATTTTTTGTTGACGTGGCTCAGGCCCCCAACAACAAAGAAATTTTGGACATTCGAGTTGTCTGCAGGCAACGCTGCACAGTGGAACTGCCAAGAAGATACAACGACCTGACACAATGCCATCGCTGTCAAGAATTTGGACACACACAACGCTACTGCCACAAAGCTCCCAGATGTGTGCGTTGCGCCGGGAAACACGCATCCAAAGACTGCACCCGCGAAAAGGACCAGGCACCAACTTGTGTGCACTGTGAGTTACAGCACCCAGCCAACTATAAGGGCTGCCAAGTATACAAGCGGTTGCGCAAATTGCAATCCCCAGCACAAAAAAGGAGTCCCACACAAACACCGTCTACGGGTCCGAGTACTGCTTCCGAAATTACAAGGCCCCGGAGCATTACCCAAGCCACGAGCTTTGCAACGCCTATTAGTGGTGTTTCTTACGCACAGGCCGCTAGAGGTGGACCGTCAAATAAGAATACCACAAGTGACACTTTGTTCACTGAAATGCTTCAGCAACAACAACGTCAGTTTGACGCAATTAATGCCGAGCTCAAAGCGATGCGAGAAGTACAATCCCAACAAGCAACCATGCTAAACAGTTTAATGGCCATCATAACCAAGCTTGCCTACAAATAATGGCTTTACGTGTGGGTATCTGGAACGCCAATGGCCTGAGAAACAAGACTCAGGAACTGGCTGCGTTTCTCTCACAAGAAAACATAGATATAATGTTAATAACAGAAACTCATGAGTGCCCCACTACACAAATTTTCGGATACGAACACTATCAGGCTCATGGTGAAGGAGCAAACTGCTTTGGTGGATCCTCAATCCTCATACGAGCAACAATACCGCATACACCTTTACTGCCAATTTGCAACGCAACAATGCAGGTCTCAGCCATCACCCTGCCTACGTCTATTGGAGCGATCGAAGTTGCGTCAATTTATCTTCCGCCAAACACTGGTCTGTGTGATCATCACATGGAACAGGTTCTAGGCCAAAGGTTGAATAAGACCCTCATCGGCGGCGACTGGAATGGATGGCACCCATTTTGGGGAAGCAATAGTGCGAATCGTCGCGGAGAAGTCATATTTGAGGCGATTCAAAACTTACAATTCAGCATATTGGCGACTGGAGCCCCCACCCGTTACCCAATTAATGGACACAGGCCCTCGGCAATCGACTTCGCTGTCTACAAAGGCATCTGTGACCGGCAATTGACCATTGAAGAATCCTTGGACCTATCCTCTGACCACCTGCCACTAATAGTCACAATCCACGCGCAGCCACAGCCCTTGCCCATTAGGAAACAACTACTGCCAGCAGGATCAGATTTAGGAGTCTTTAGGCGCGAGCTCCATTACTCTTTGCACATAGAAATGGAACTTAACACTCCTGAAGACGTGGACTACGCAGCAAACAAACTGCAGGAAGAAATAGTCAAAGCTGCGCACCAAGCCGCCCCACCATCTTGCCAAACAAGACAACAGTCTCCGTACAACATCCCCCTCACCTTGGAGGCCCAACACCTACTAATACACAAAAGATGGGCCAGGAGACGCTGGTTAAGATTACGCACGCCTGATGCCAAATCCATGTACAACGAAGCCACGAGGCATCTTAAAGCTGCTCTCGCCCTGCTTCAAAAGAGGTGTATCAGCGATGCGCTGGTACGAGCTGAATCGCCCACTGACGCAGAGTTTCAATTATGGAAATTTACAAGAAAGCTCAAACGGCAGCCAATACGACGTCATCCCATTCGGAGCATTTCTGGTTCCTGGCACATTGGAGACGAAGCTCAAGCTGAGGCTTTTGCAAACCACCTTCAAGACCAATTCACGCCGGTGATTACCGCAGAGGCCTCAGAAATCGAAGCAACAGAAGACATCGTTCTCTCGCCCCTCCCAGCTGAAGACCAGATAACTGGATGTACAAAAGAAGAGGTTCTTGAACACATCAGAAGAGTGAAGGCAAAAAAATCCCCTGGATATGATCTAATAAACGGCAGAGTCCTTAGAGCACTGCCTGACTCCACCATAGACTACATAACTATGGTGTACAACGCCATGCTCCGCATCCGGCACTTTCCAGCCTGCTGGAAGCGCGCCGTGATTGTGATGATTCCTAAGCCTGGCAAACCCGTGGGAGAAATTGAGTCGTACAGACCAATTAGCCTGTTGCCAGTACTCTCCAAAATATTCGAAAGAATATTTCTGGAACGAGTACTGACACATCTGGGACGCCAGGAGGCCATTCCAAACCATCAGTTTGGCTTCAGGAGACAGCATGGAACACCGGAACAGGTTCACAGAGTTGTGCACCATATCCTTGGAGCCTTTGAAGAAAAGATGTACTGCTCTGCCGTCTTTTTAGACATCAAACAGGCGTTTGATCGAGTTTGGCACCTGGGACTGCTGCAGAAAGTGAGGACCACCCTTCCAGCCCCATTTTTCGCGTTGCTATCCTCATACCTTATTGGAAGAACCTTCCAAGTGTCAAGGGGGCAAACAGTATCCTTGACTAGACCAATTATGGCTGGAGTACCACAGGGTAGTGTTCTAGGCCCAACACTTTATACTTTATTCACAGGAGATATGCCAACTCCCGAGCCAAATATAGGAAGTACAGATGCAGTACTCATAGCGACCTATGCAGATGACACCGCCATCTTATCACGTCACGTATCTGCGCAAGAAGCTTCAGACTCACTACAAAAATATCTGGACTCTTTCGGACGCTGGGCAAAACGGTGGTGTATCACCATTAATGCACAAAAGTCTGTACATACTACCTTCGCCACTAGAAGAGGAGATTGCCCAAGCGTTGCATTGGGGCCCACTATTCCCAAAGCCTCAAAAGTAAAGTACCTTGGTATCACTCTTGACAGAAGGCTGACTTTTAAAGCGCACATAAGTCAAGTAACCTCAAAATGCAAAAGCAAGCTAAAAACCCTCGACTGGATGCTGAGAGCTTCAAGCAAGTTGTCTTACAGCAGCAAGGCCGCCATCTACAAGGCAATAGTTGTCCCAACCTTCGTATATGGTATCTCTCTATGGGGCTCCTCGGCGAAGACTACAAGGAACAAAATTCAGACCCTGCAGAATAAAGCACTACGCAGATGGACTGGAGCCAGCTGGTTTGTAAGAAACTCAGTCTTACATAGGGATTTAGCAATTCCCACAGTTGCTGAACTCATTGGGCGACACAGTTCAAGATACGCGGACAGACTTGCAGCGCATCCTAACCATCTCGCAAGCAACCTGGCTATAAACAACAATAGGCGAAGACTGAAGAGATTGCATCCTCTAGACAATATTAGAACTAATTAAGATAGTAGCTACAAGTGCAGAATAATTGGCATATCTGCCCTCCCATTAGTTAAGGTTTAGAGCTAAATGCGCTATAGAGTCTAAGACAATAAGCTGCAACAAAATAAAGAAATAAAAACGAAAAAAAAAAAAAAAAAAAAAAAAAAAAAAAAAAAAAATATTTTGCGATACTTCAAAGATAGTTAAACAGAAACAAAGGGTACCCTATTAACATCTAGAAATATATAAAAGTATTTCGCATGATTGTGAATTTTGTTAAAGCTTAGATTTTGGTCATAATTAAAGCATAAAAAGGATATTTGTATATTTTAAACATATATTTGTTTATATTTTTTAATAATTGTTTTTAGATTTATATTACTTTATTATTTATATATGTTTTATTTTTGTTTTAATATATTATATTAAATATATTTAAAAAGAGGAATTTATTGTTTTACTTAGTTGAATTTAATTATCATATAATAATTATAAAATTATATAAATACATATACATAAATATTTAATAGTTTTATTTATATTTATATTATGTATTTTTTTTTTGCTTAATATATTTATTCGTTTAGGAATATCAAAAATAGAGTTTACTTACATTACTTTAATTACAATATAATATATGTATATATTTTTAATATATTTATTTCAACCGTTATATTGTTTAGTTTTTAAATATATATAAAAGAAAAATTATTTTTCTCAGTTTAATTTAATTATTTTGTATATATTTTAAAAATTTTTTATATTTATTATATTATTTTTATGTTTTCTTTTTCGAATATTTAAGTATTATTACAAAAAAAGATTAAAGTTTCCTATAAACTGCAGTTGCAGTTAAGTTTAGGTAATCGATAACCTGCAGCAGTTGCATCAGCTGATTAAGTTATCGATGGTAACTGTTTAAGCTATCGATAACTTACTTCAGTTGCGTTAAGCTTTTAAGTTATCAATTGCAACCGTTTAGATTAGGTTGCATCAATTGCTAGTTATCGATAATCGATAACTTTCAGCATATGATAACCTAAATCTCTTAAGATATTCAATAAAATTTACCATTGAATCTTATTTTTGTCGGCAAAAATAAAGTTTATTCCAATTTCTTTGCCCTTTTACACTCTTCTTATGCAAACAGTCTGAACTAAAAGATTCCACATATTTTATACAATAGAAAATCCATCCCGTTAGCTTTGCTTTTTCAACCTTTTACACTTTCAGAAGTCCTTAAAATGGTTATCCAACTATCAATTTCGTTCAAATACAATGATAGCCCAACAACGTATTTACTGGACATTTTGATTTTAATATAAACGCCACAATGTAAAAAAGGAAAATAAATGAAATAAAAGAAAAACACGTTAAAAAAACAGTTTACACTACATGTATGTTGGTCGCGTCGTTTATAGGTAAGAATTGACTGTGAATAGCTTAATGAACCCCTTCATTTACAATAGATTTCTAGGTTTAGATAGCATATTTAACAAGAATTAGACAACTGAAGACGTTCAAGATCTCAAAGCCAAATTGGAATCGAACGTTGCGATGCCAGCTCAAGCGATTGGGGATGAAATGAGACTAAACCTCCTCTTGGAACAAGACAGTTTACATGCCTATATTCATACATATATATATATAGATATATATATATAATTTTTAATATGCAGATATAGATATATGTAGATATATATATATGTATATGTGTATTTATAAGTATGTATGCTTATGTTTATTAGCTTTGGCTTAGGAAGAGGCAAAAATAAACAATATTTAACAATAAAATGTCTTAATTATTGAAATGGAAATTCGTGGAATAACGACGAGCTGAGTCAGCCTTCCGGCTGAGTATATGTCCGTCCGTATGATGGCTACGATCGTAAGCCACCCGAACTATAGATTTCAAATGTTATATGAAGCTTATCGAGCTTAACATTTTTATTATCGATAACACATACATTAAAATCGATAAGAATCGATAGTTTCATTTCATTTTCCATTAATATAAGCTTCGAATTTTTTTGAGTGGGCTTCCGCAACGAATACACAGATGTTGGATACTTCTCCCCCATTGCCCAAAATTAACAAATAACTTATTTGTAATTCTAGGGACTTGTGTTTTACCAAATACACTCATATAAACGACTAGAGCCCTGAAATTTTCATTAAGAAAATTCAGCTAGAAGAAAAGGTATTCAACAATTATGTGCCCATAGTAAAGCCCCTGAGCAGCCCAGGCGCAGCTTAAACGCAGCCCAAGCGCTGCCCAAGCGCAGCTAAAACGCAGCCCAAGCGCTGCCCAAGTGCAGCTAAAGCGCAGCCTAAGCATAGCCCAAGCGCTGCCCAATCGCAGCTAAAGCGCAGTCCAAGCGCTGCCCAAGCGCAGCCCAAGCGCTGACCAATCGCTGCCCAAGCGCAGCCCAAGCGCAGCCCAAGCGCAGCCCAAGCGCAGCCCAAGCGCAGCCCAAGCGCAGCCCAAGCGCAGCCCAAGCGCAGCCCAAGCGCAGCCCAAGCGCAGCTCAAGCGCAGCCCAAGCGCAGCTCAAGCGCAGCCTAAGCGCAGCTCAAGCGCAGCGCTGCGCTGTAAGCAGAGTGCTTACTCCTGTGTGTGTGTATATGTTTGCGTGCATGTGAATGTGTGTGTGCATATGCTTAGAATGATGAAAGCATCAACGCTGCGCAGCGTCAGGGTATTTTCTAGCTTAGCACTGTCGACTAGAGCACTTTTACGTCTTTGTATTTTGAAATTAACAGTAAAATTTTATTTATTTAAATTTATTTTTGGCCGGGTCAGCTGAAGGACTCTAAATTGCTCTAAATATCAAGTAGGCTTCACACTAGCACAATGATCCCACGAAAAACAAACTTCATACACTAACAAACACTTAAAACTCTTGCTTAGTTTGAGCAAAAATAAAAAAACAGATTTTATTATTTAAATAAAACCAAAAAAAGTTAAAAATCAGCGTAAAACCAAACAGGTATGCGAGCCTATCTATTGGCTTAATCTTACATGGTCCAATAGTAAGCGAAAGAAACTTTTTCGTTTAGAAAAGTATAAGAAATGGGGGACAAGAATGTTGACTTCAGCGTTTTGGATTTTGAGAAGTATGATGACTATATAGAATCGTTTACGGTGAAACAGGACTATCAATATTTGGGAAACCACAAAGTGATCGCAGAAGTCATTAAATTGGGTTATCGCACCACGAACACTCCATATGAGAAGCCCGAATTTAAGAGGCGTCAGTTTTTGGCCATGCAAGCGATACGACCAAAGGCCATGGCCGACAACCACTTTAGCAGATTCTTGTCGCCAGACAATGAGGATCCAGTGCTGCTGCAGTTCAAGCAGCGTGAAATACCCATTTTTTCCAAGATTATAGCGGTGAGTTGAAAGCGAGACGCACTGCAGATGATCAATAATTCCAACTGTCCGGCCGTCAACAGACAATCGTGTTCACAATGCATATTGATATCAAAGGCTCGGAAATTTCAGCGTATATCGATTTGGGCATGAGCTGGATGAATACGACGCGCAGGGCGTACAATCACTCCAACTGGAAGGGTATCTATGAGGGCAAGGCCTATCTGCGGCCAATGCCGCACCATCTGAGCTATCGCAATGCCCAAATGAATATACTCTATCACACGGACAGTGATAACTTTAAGGTTGTGCACCACGATCGCTACGGCCTCATGTTTATGCACAAAGGCGATCACAAATACCTGCCTGTTGGCTGTCGTGACACCCCATTCAGTCGCAACGTACACCGAACCACAGTGAACTCACCCAAGTACGGCACGGTCATATTCTACGACCATACGCTGCGCAAGAAGGTATAGCATCATTAGTCTACTACAAAATTCATAGCAATGTATCAGAAATCGTATGGTATATGTACAGAGTAAACCAATTCGCTGGCTTCAATCCAAAAACAAAGAATTTCTCACTCGTTTCTTCTTGTTTAGAATATGTTTAGCACAACAAACAACAGAGGGCGCTCTCTCTCTCTCTCTCGCTCCATCGCTCTGAGTAGATTTTCGCATAACTTTTATTATTAGCATAGTTCACTTTATATATATATATATATATATAGGCGACATAGCTCATTGTGTTGCAGGCCTTCGTACGTTTTAGTTGCAAGTTTTTACATCATCAGTAAAATATAATAAAATGCCTAAATATCAACAATAAAAAATGCTTATCAAATATTACGCATACGCCCCGTTCTGCTTGTTGCTTCTGCATTGGGCCGCAGCCAGGGAGAAGTTTAATGTGGGTAAGTTCTTCAATGAAATTTTGAGGAAAGTAAAGGCGAGAAAACTGGGTCAAATTTGCGCTGTTCAGGCATCATCTTTACATCGGACAAGGATGAGGCGGAAATTGCATTTCGCACGGCTGTGGAACGTGCAAATATCATGGAACGCAACATAGAACTGGTGCCAGTTGTGCTCTATGCCAATACTGAGGACAGTTTCATAATGGAGAAAACGGGTAAGTCCCAAGACTTAAGTAGACCAGAAATATGTATTTATTCTGCTTGCAGTTTGTGAACTGATTTCGCAGGGCTGCATTGCTATTTTTGGACCCAGCACGGGCAGCAGCTCAGGCAAGTTTCTCTCTAGCAATTTCCACTTGGTTCGATCGATTCATCTTGCGCATCTCGATAGACATAGTTGCCTCCATTTGCCACACGCTGGACATACCGCATATCGTTTACGACTGGCTGCCCGAGAATCGACAGTATGAACATTCTTCGATGACCCTCAATCTGCATCCGGATAATTTACTGCTGGCGCGTGGATTTGCCGAAATCGTGCAGAGCTTTGGCTGGCGCAGCTTTACGATTGTCTATGAATCGGAGAGAGGTAGGTACAGTGCTAACTGACCATGCACAATCACCACAAATATCAAATGAAAAGTTTGAATAGAGATGAAGGTGGAAATTTCATTTGTTTGAGTGAAATAAGAGTGAAATTTGCTGTGAAAATTCTTTTTATCTTTCAATCGATATTCGTGCGATTCGGAACTTGAATAAAGTCAATATACCTAGCCTATATACCACTTGCTAAAGTTAAATATGCGTGAAATATGTTTTAAAATCGATTTTTTCCTTTGATCGATAAACGATAACAACAAAAATATTGAAAATATCGATTGTCTGAAAATATATTATTTTTATATATAACGCTTTGACTACCCACAGAGCTGCAGCAGCTGCAGGATGTACTGCAAATCGGTGATCCCAGCAGCAATCCCACAACAGTCAGACAACTGGGTCCAGACGAGGATCATAGACCTTTCTTAAAGGAAATTAAACTGTCCACGGATAATTGTCTCGTACTGCACTGTTCGCCGGAGAATCTTTTACGAGTGTTAGAACAAGCTCATGAGCTGAAAATGCTAGGTGAATATCAGGTGAGACGCAGGCAAGGTGAGAGATTACCTGAGAATAAATGTAGCTTATTCGCTTTGCTTGCTCTTTCAAAATTAGAGTGTTTTTATACCCCTCTTGGATACACACACCTTGGAGCTGGGTGACATTATGAACGTGGAGGCGAATATAACAACAGTTCGCTTGATGGATCCCACCGACTATCATATTAAGAACATTGTGCACGACTGGGAGGAGCATGAGAAGCGCGCGGAAAGCTACTACAAAGTGCTGCCGACGCAGGTGAAGACGCAAATGATACTGCTGAACGATGCTGTGTGGCTCTTCTCCAAGGGACTGACTGAGCTGGGAATCTTGGAAGAGCTCTCGGCGCCGGAAATCGAATGTAAACGCAAAAAGCCCTGGCCACATGGCAGACGCATCATTGAGTTCATGAAGGCGGTAAGCAAGCTATATCTAAACAATGGATCCACTATATAACCTCTATGACATAGCGCTCTGAGGAGGTTGGCACGGGTCGCGTGGACTTCAATGAGTATGGACAGCGCAGTTACTTCAGCCTGCGCTTCATGGAGATCGATGCCGGGGGCTTCCTGGATCTGGCCACCTGGGATCCGGTCAATGGTCTGAATGTGCGCAACGATGACGAGGAGAGCGAGAAGCGCGTGGGCCAAAAGCTGTCGAACAAAACGTTCATCATCTCCTCACGCATTGGAGCGCCCTTCCTGACGCTGCGCGAGCCCAAAGAAGGCGAAATACTGCAGGGCAATTCGCGTTACGAGGGCTATTCCCTCGATCTGATCGATAACATCGCTCGCATGCTGAACTTTAAGTATGAATTCCGCATGTCACCAGACGGCAAATACGGTAGCTTGAACAAAGTCACGCAGACATGGGATGGGATCGTAAGGCAGCTGCTCGATGGGGTGAGAACAAACCCAGCTTAAGTCAGCGTGATCCAAGAAATATAATTTCAGAGAAAACACTAATATATACATATAGATACTATACAGATTCTCTAAATATCTCCTCAACTCTCATATAGAACGCGGATCTGGGCATTTGCGATCTGACCATGACCTCGGGCAGGCGTCAAGCCGTGGACTTTACGCCGCCTTTCATGAATCTGGGCATTAGTATTTTATTCTCAAAGCCACCAATACCACCGACGGATCTGTTTTCATTTCTATCGCCCTTCTCGCTGGACGTTTGGATCTATATGGGCTCTGCGTATCTGTTTATATCGTTTTTGCTCTTTGCCTTGGCTCGCATGGCGCCCGATGACTGGGAAAATCCGCATCCTTGCAAGGAGCCCGAGGAGGTGGAGAATATATGGTTTCTGAGCAATACAATGTGGCTATCCATTGGCTCTCTTATGGGCCAAGGTTGCGATATATTACCCAAGTGAGGAAATTCCCGTGAAATAACAGTTATAACCCCAATTTACATTCTGTTTTTTGGCGCAGAGCCGCCTCAACACGTCTAGTGACTGGCATGTGGTGGTTCTTTGCTCTGATGATGTTGAACTCCTACACGGCCAACTTAGCTGCGTTTCTGACCAACTCGCGCCAAGCCAGCTCCATTAATAATGCCGAAGATCTTGCGGGCCAGACGAAAATTAAATATGGCGCTCTATTGGGCGGCTCTACAATGGGCTTCTTCAGGGACTCCAACTTCAGTGTCTATCAGAAAATGTGGACAGCCATGGAAAGTGCACAGCCGTCAGTTTTCACCAAAACAAACGACGAAGGCGTGGAGCGAGTGCAAGTAAGTCTCAAAATGTCACAATCAAGAGGTTACGCACAAAACTGCAAGTGAAACTAAGATTCCTATTTAATTCCTTTATTTTAAATATTATTTTACAACCTTGTAATGGGTCATATCATATATTTTAAAAATAGTTACTGTACGATCAAACAGAAACTCAAGCTGTGACGTCATGCATAACAAAAAAATCAAAATCTTCATATATATTATGAGACTTTTGAAAGTACTGTTATATTGCATGATATTCACATACAAAGGGGCCATCATTCTTAACTAAAAACCAATGCCAAGCGTGTGTAGTGGGCGCAAGTGAGACGAGTTGCAAAGTCAATACTACACATTGAAATGAAACTGGCTTTGTCTTTTATGCTGATCGTCATTGAAAATAACATGCTAAAGACAGAGACAAACATAGTAACTGCTTTGCGCGCTCTCTATTTTGAAACGAACTCAAACAACAAGCTTACATATACACATATGCATATATACAAATGTGTGTCTGTATATATGTTATTATTACAGAGCTAGACAATGCATACCCAATTCACAAGGCAAGTCGCAATCACTCTTTGACTCTCAGAGAGCGAGAGCGAATTAACCATATGAGCAAAAATGAAGTTGTGGTGGACGATTTAGCGTCTCTGCATGTATATTCATCCTACCGTTTATTATACCGTTTAAAACCTACATGAATTACGCTTGCTTAAAATATTTTTAAATGCAGAAAGGAAAAAATATGTATGCTTTTTTAATGGAGTCTACTACACTGGAGTACAACGTGGAGCGTAAGTGCGATCTAATGCAAATTGGCGGCTGGTTGGACTACAAGAGTTATGGCATCGCAATGCCCTTCAGTAGGTTAATTTCTGACCTAAGTCAAGTCACATGATGAAATTTTTTCTTCTATTCTACTCTAGATTCACCGTATCGCAAACAGATAAGCGGCGCCGTCTTGAAGCTGGGTGAGCTGGGTGTCCTCTCTGAGCTGAAGCGCAAGTGGTGGAAGGAGATGTATGGCGGAGGCAGCTGCGAGGGCGCCGAGGAAGGGAACGCAGATACTCCGGAGCTGGGACTGGAGAATGTCGGTGGCGTATTTCTGGTCTTGGGACTGGGTCTAATGTCCGCCATGGTGCTGGGCTGCACGGAGTTTTTCTGGAACGTAAAAACAGTGGCGATCGAGGAAAAGGTGAGAATCATACCTCTTAAATAATTCTATAATAATTCGTTTTCCCAGATCTCGCTGAAGGACGCTCTCAAGGCGGAGGTGATGTTTGCTTTGTGCATTTGGATTACCACAAAGCCGGTGCACGCAAGCGTCGGATCGAGCAGCTCATCCTCTTCGTCTTCCAGCTCGTCATCCAAATCAAAAGCCTCTAAGTCGCATTCAACGCGCTCCAAGCATTCATCCAAATCTCTCGGAGTATCCAGTAAAGACCACGATGCGGAGTCCTCTGTGCACAGCAAGCTTAAGAAGATTGGATCCATGTTTTCGCTTAAATCGCAAAAGGCAACTCCCCCACCGCCTGAAATTGGTTGGAAATTAGATAAATCTACACAAATGAGTATTGAATCAACGCCACATGAGGAGGCGCCGGTGGTGGAAGAGGAACGTCCTGCTGAGCGACGTCATCATCATCATCACCATCATCATCATCATCACCACCAACACCAGCCACAGGATCAGTCTATGGATCAGCGAGCTAGCCAATTGAGCAATGGAATTTAAATCGATTTTTACAAAATGTTATTTTATTCAAAGAGCTTTTAAGCCATTAATCCTTATATCCGTGGAGTTTTCCAATATCACTAACTATAAAACACACACAATCAAAGCCCATTTCAATTTAGTATATGCTTATTCTCTCATTCCCATGGAAGAATTAAGCCTAGTGCAATTGAATACCGCTCTGCCTGTCTCACTCACACTTCATAACAATTGCGCTCTTAAATCTATATACATATGTGTGAGTATGTGTGAATAAACAGCAATGGAAGCTAATTTGAAGAAAAAGCGAGAGCGAGTGAGTAGCATTGCAAATTAGTGCACGCTCAGATAAAGGAAGAGTATTAAAGTGTTGACTTGCTTAAAAATAACTTTTTACACATACACGCACACTTATGCATATATACACTCTCCTATGCATATAGACGTGTGTATACCATGCTTACTAGTATTTATACTTAAGCCTGCAGAAAATGTTGGGCTTTAGGGTTGATGCTAAGACCCTTCTATATACAAGTCTTTGAATTCGCCGCTTGACTCAATCTGTAGCTTAGCAAATAACTAAAAATACCCAAAAAAATGCATTTACAAGAATTTTTAATTCAACAAAACTCCAAACAAGGCAAATGGCTTCAAAGCACTTTGAGTTTTAAGCAGCACTTCCCGAAACCAGAAACCCTACAAAGTATTATAAAATTTCTCACAAAATATTTTTCTTAAAAACCCTTTAGAAAAAAACGTTCATATATTTCGGTTTTTTGCAGTTTTTTTATTTTTTTGTTTGTTTTTTTTTCTGTTTTGTTTAATTTATATTTTGGGCATATTGACTTGTTCTTTTTCTCTAATAAACATTTTAATGTAATTTGTTTTTAATACAATTTATTTTAAGTTAATTGATTGCGAATCTCAGATTGTTTTTTATCTTGTTTTGTTTGTCTAAACTGTATTGATATATTTTGAATATTTCGTTTATCTTAAATCTACACTTTCATTTAATACTTAATTTTTAATTTAAAATATTTGCAATATTTAATTATTTTTAATGTTACACATATTATATTTACTTGCAAAGCTAATTGAATACGTTTGTTGTTGCTCATTGTTTAAGGTACATTTAGTTGATTATCTTTCTCTCCGACAATTCGCCTTTTTTGTTTTTTTTTTTTTTGAGCTTTCGAATTGCTTAAACATTATTAAAAAAATAAACGACGTTCACTTACTAATAAATATATATGTAATATACAAAGTTTTTGAAGTTGAATAAAAACAGCGCTGACAGAGAGAAAGAGAGGGGGAGATAGAGAGAGAAAGAGAGCGAACGGAATGAGATATCTATACAGCTCTAAATAAAAATTTTAGATACAGCTATACAAGTTATATACAAACATTTTGAAAACAAAATTTTACTCGACATAAATTCAAAATAAATTCTACAACTAAAATACTTTTTTTTACATTTTTCTCTTGCGAGTATTTTTTGTTTTATTTTTTGTACTTAAAATAATTAAACTGCTTTAAATAATTTGCTAAATTTTGTTTTTTTTTTGGTGCCTTTTATGTAGATATATACTTTTTATATTTGTTTTTTTTTTTTGGGTTTTTGGAAATGCAGAGTTCTTGCTCAACCACACTGTGTTTTATCTAGAAAGACCATGTCCCGTGTGCTGCTTCTTCGTGGTCAATCCTTTGCGGTGATGGCAACGGGTGGGAATTGGCGCTCGTCGTACAGCTTTGTGGGCGTGTCGATGGCATCGCACAGCTTGCGGAACTTGTCGGAATCTATGAATTGAAAAGGGCTTGGATGAGCAGGTGGAATAGAAAGATATGCAGTCGCACTCACCTGACATGGCGTCCGCCTGCTCGCCACGCAGTATGCCCGCATAGCTGTTGTCCGCCACGGGATCGGGATTCTCGATCAGCACACTAGCCGCACAGCTTTTGAGCATAGTCAGTGATTGCTGTGGCAGCGTCTTCGTCTGTGCTTTGAGCACACTTTCGCTCAGCTGCAACTCGATGACATCTTCGAGAGCGCCACGCAAGTCATGCACAGCCAGCAGCTTGCAGGCGCCACCACGCTCCGCATTGAAGTCGTGCATGTAGAGGAAGCCATCCTCGCAGGCAATCAGCAGACGCAGTTCCTTTTGTACTCGGGTCAGGGCGCAAATGTTTTTGAGGCCTGGCTGTGGCAGCACCACCGTGGCAAAGGCGCGATCCTGCGCCAAGACATCGCTGACCTGGGCGGGCAGCAGCAGCGAGGACACCGCCTTGGTAAACATGCCACCCCAGCTGGCGGCCGTGCTAGCAGTCGTTGCTTCATTGGTTTCCTCCGCTGCCACAGAAGCAGTGCTGGCTGCAGTCGCTGACGTCTTCGTCGTCGTGGCTGTCGTTTCCTTGGTATTGCTGTCCGATTTGGCTGCCACTTCAGCTGTAGGACGAAATGTTGGTTAAGGCGAACTTCTATTTAATTACATTCACTCACCTATAGCCTTCATCTCCGCCGCCTCCACAGCCCGGGCATCGATCTTGAAGACATGCACCGTCTCCGTGTTGGAGGAGGCACAGAGATAATCGCCGCTCGCTGCGAAGACCAGCGAAGCGATCCTTACACAACGCTTGACGCCTCGTCTCAACTCCTGCACCCGCTGGCCGTTCTTCACACAGAAGACGCGTATCACAGTGCCTCGCTCCGAGGCGGTGGCCAGCAGTGCGCCGCTGGGCGAGAACGTGAGCGCTGAGAGGGGCGTGTCATGCGCCTTGATCGTCATGCCTGTGCGCAATTTGTTGGCATTGAAGATGCGCAGCTCGCCGCTGGACTGGCAGATGGGAAACGCCAGATGGGAGTTGAGAGAGAGAGCACAGAGACCCAGCTCATTTGGCGCTATATTCTCAATGGAATGCAGGATCTTCATGTCGCGTATGTCATGTATGTGTATGCTCTCCGCCAGGCAAACAATCAAGCGTTGGCGATTCATGCGCACGCACAGAATCTCCGAAGGATAGAAGCAATTGCATATGTCCTGTTTCTTTTTGAAGTGCAGCATCTTAAGGCAGTTGGGCTTCTGTGAGGTGACCAGCACCACCAGCGAGCTGTTAAACAGCCGCTCCACAATGCGTATTTGCTCTGTATTGTCCTTGGCAAAGATCTCCTCGACCTTATCCTGGCCGGCAATCGAATACAAACGCAGACCAGTGCTGCTCAGCACAGAAAGCGAGCTGCGGGTGTTAAAAATGGTATGCAGCCATATTTAGCATATTTCAAAGGAAAACATTAATTAACACTACTTCAAACAAACTTCAGTGCCAATCCCATTCGTTTCCGCCCCTTAATCATATATAAGACAACTACTTCCTTTAGACTACCAAATTCATCATTTTATTAGCCCTCTCGGGCTTCCAAAAATTGCCGTAGTGGACGGTATTTCACGTCCCCATGGCGGGGTATTGGTTAAAGTTTTCAACTAGCAATAATCGCACCTCAGTAGAACTTCATTGGTTACGATATCGCCTCTGCGCAAAGATAACCTAACACTGCCAAACAACACTTACTCCATTCGTGCCCAACTATAACCAGTTGAGAATTCTAAGTGACCTAAACATAAATACACCCAGGCATTTAAACGTTTCGGTTCTGCAAGTTTATGTAGCATGCTTTTCGGCTGCATTTTTGTTATTGTATGTGTGCATTGTGTGAGAATTCGGCAAATGCATCCCTTTTTGTTGCTTTATTGGCTTTGGGTTTTAGATAGGAAGGGAAGTCGTAAATGCACTTGAGAGGGCTGGTCAGCGGCAGCTACATATAAAACAGCTTATACATTGCCTCTAAGGGTTGTTACTCAACATTTTTAATATAAAATAATTTTTAAAATTATTTTACATTTTTAAATACAAAAAACAGCTAAAAAAGCAATTTTTTGATTTAGCTGCTTTGGCATTCGAACCCGCAACCTTGGCACATTTTTGATTTCAAATCAGCAAAACATGACAAACGGCAAATAAACATAAATTAAAAATAAAAAAAATCAATCATATTCAAAAAGCAATAGCCTTGCTTAAGCATAATAAACATAAATATGGGTTTCATATGCAGAAATAATAAAAAACTAATGACTAAACGCCGAAACATTTAGCTAAGAAAACAGCTCAAAGCTGCGCTGTGCATGAAAGAGCGTGACAGCTATACACATACAAAAATACCAAATCCAAGTAAATACCAGCGTAGTGCTTTTTTAGGTAATTTTTAATGTTTACTAGGATTTCTAATTCATTTTAATAGTATTCTAAAGTAAGTATTCTAAGTATTTTCTAAACACACTTTGAGATCCAGCTAATAATTGCTTTGGCGCGCTTTTAACTTTGTACTTGGTACTTATTGCTAATAGGGATAACTACAGCTGTCTAAATCAAATCACTTGGCGACAATTGAGATTCGCCCTCTGCCAAATATATGTGCAACGCCTTGTAAAGTAAAGCAATGCCCAGCTGCTTCTTCTGCTTCATAGTCCAGATCTGAGCCGGTCCATAATAGTCTCCACGCTTCAAATTCGTCAAGTGGGTCAGCCCGAGAGCATCTATAATGGATGCCTCTCTCGTGTACGCATCTGTGGGCATTATATTGTGAAAGACATGCAGACAGACGACTCCACTGCCATGTTGCCAAATGTCCAGGATGCGCTGCAGCTTCTTGCTGCCAGCTTTCCCATTGGCTGGTGGCGGAGACTTAAACAGCTCCGGCATTAGTAGACAACGTCCAGTCGCACGCTTTTTCCCATTCGCTGGCTGCTGTTGGTGCAAGCGCGTGTGCTGACGCATTGCATCATAGAGATGGGCGTAGGGCCGGGAGCACTTGCCTTTGCCCACATAGAAAATGGCATCCAGGAAGCGAGACCAAATGCTAAGTGGATCAACGAAAGCGCGTTCCCCAGGCAGATTCCTCGAGATGCGCGGATCTATTAACATATAAATGAAACTTTGCTTCAGATGCCCCTCGCGCAGCTGCTTTCCACTCCCTCCAGCTGTGGCAAAGTGCTGGGCAGACGCGTTCTCATGCACCATAAACCGCTCGATCTGCTCGTAATCCGACTGCGAACGCAACGTATGATGCAGCTCCACGGAGTATTTGAACTGTGCCGCCTTCGCATGCTTCTGTGCCGCCAGCAGAGCCGCTGTATTCCTCTTGTATTTGATCAACTGTTTGATGTAAAGCCTTTTCGTTGTGTGTGTAATGGGTCCAACTGGAGCGCCCAGCTGCGTCAGCTCTGCACGCAGTGCGTCCGTCTCATAGTCCAGCGGCAGGGTAAGATTTGTGCTCACGCTGCTGTCAAGCTGCACAGAAGTAGGTGGTGGCTCCAAATGGTTCTGCTTGCGCTTCGTGAGCTGTTTCTTGGATGCATCATTCTGGAGCAGCTTCGTCTCATAGAAGACAAGGCCATTCTCATCGTCTGTATGCACATAGGCTTCGGTCATTTGGAGATAATATGTTTTGTCCTGGGGCTGCTGCTTCCTTTGCTGATCCTCTGGCTCCTCCTCTGGGGCTGTGTGGAAGCTCTGCTCCAGCACACAAGCTTGCGCTACCTGCTCCACCAGCTGACCAAAGGCAGCTCGACTAGCAACTGCCGGGGAACTGGATTGCTCTGACGGCGCTTGCTCCGCTTGCCTCAACGTCTGCTGCACATGCTGTTCGTAGCTAAAGTCCTCTTGGGCTATAGCCTGATCGACCAGCATTTCCACTTGTTGTTCCTGCAGCAGGGATTTGCGTGCACGCGATCGTTCCACTTTATCCCGCCAGCTCTCGATCAAAGTTCGACGGCCACATGTCGAAGCATCCTGATTGTGCGTTAGCTCTGCTAAATGATCTCGAGTTAGAGAAAACAGGTTGACCGATTGCTCCGGCTCGTCTGGAAACTGTGGCTGTGGCTTGCCACGTCGGTGCGTTATATTGATGTAGTAGGGCGAGGTGACATCGTGATTATACTTCAGCGTCGACTTGGGCGTCAGTAACTTCTGTTTCTGTTGCTGCTTCTCCCTGTAAATGTGGTCGCGCATCAATTGCAACACCTCGAAGTGACACTCCTCGATGGCATAGTGCACGGCCAGCTTATGCTCATCATCCGCAATATCTGGCCGTGCTCCATGCTTCAGTAGCAGGCGCACTAGCTCCGTGCGCCCATAGATCGCAGCGATATGCAATGCAGTCATATTTCCATCACAGCGCACATTCACATCCATCTGATCGCTGGCGAGAAACCGTTCGAGTATACGCAAAGCCAGCTCCTCGTTCTGCATGCCACACACATAGTGCAACGGAGCTAATCCTCGCTCGCAGGGCACAACGCCTGCATTGATGATGTTTCGATCCAGCATTGAAAATATATCCGTTTCGTTCTCATCCTCCAGGGCGTCGAGCAGCGTTAGAGCTAGAAAATTAGCTCGCTGCTCCATAGCGTGCGAATTGATTTTCCACACCTTCAGGTATTCAATTACCCAATTATTTTCCAATTTTCGCCTTTTTCAATGTCAAATGCAGTTTATGTTTGTTGTTGTTTATATTTTACTTGCGCTTGCTGCGATTTGGTATTTTAGTTGGTATTAATTCTGTGCACTGCACTACCACACTGTTTGACAGTGCTGTAAAACGTGCTCAATTTCCGGTAAATTTAAATTTCAACTTTGGCAACTTTAACAAAGCATACCAAAAGCTATAGAATTTCATTGGTTTTGATAAGTTTAGACTATGAAAACAATTGATCAATTTTAATTATTTATAAATTTATTGATAAGTATTTATGTCAATCATAGCCGAAGCGATTTTTTTGCATTTGGTAAGTGATTTAGTATTTATTCTACGTGACGCAGCACGACAATATTCGCAGTGTTGCAAAACGCGGTCGTTTTGAATTTTTGTTTTTGCAGCTAGCTTAAAAAATTAAATTATATTAGCTTTTGGTTTTAATTGTTGTTGCCGTCAAGTTTTGCACTTGAAATTATACAAAATAGTTTTGACCATGGAAATGTTTGTTTTTATTGTTATCATTTACTCGAAATTTATGTCAGACACGTTTCTCCGCAAAACCAAAAACGATAAGCGAGAGCCGCAAATCTGGCGATGAGCGCAACACGTGTGTCGCTCAGCCGATTTTATGTTGGTTCTCAATGCTTTTGTGGTTTTATTTTATGGGATCAAAACTAGTTTTGCGGCAAAGGCGTCGTCGCAAAAAATGGGGCCCAAGGCCATACTGAATTGTATGCGACTGACTGGTAGTCAAACCCCCTTTAAAAAGCGATAACATGACGGCCTTGTTTTCGATTTGTTGTTTATATTTTACGCTATCCCCTTTTGTGCTGTTTACTAACAACTAAGCTAAGCCTGAGCATTTCATACTTTTACTCAATAATATTTTTGTATGTTTTCCATGACGCAACGAAAGTAATAATGTAAACACATCAACACGGAGTGAAGTGGGCACATTAATTAAAATGTTCAGTAAAAAGTGTAGATAGAAGTTCATTCGCACCAGAAAGAAAAGATATTGAAGTAAAAGCCGAAGCCTAAATGCTCTTTACCAAATTTAAAAATGTATTGTACATACATATATAATTTTTAATATTAGTTTAATTCCATAAGAAAGTTTAAAACTTAAATTAAATTTGTTAACAAACTGTCTTAAAAATTTAAATTTCCTTTCAATAACATCGCCTCTATGTAGGGTATAAGAGGTGCAAAACGCACGGCGCAAACAGCTGGCGTAAACAAAAACAGAGATATTATGAAATAACTGCACTATTCGTGCTCAATGGACAATGGACGCGTTTGCAACACGTGTTTTTAGTTGCCCTATCATTGCCATTATCATTATCACTATCATTGCCTTAGCTCAGCTGCTGCACCTTTGCCCTTGAACTTGACGCTCAATCGAATGCCTAATTGAGTTCGTTTGTGCTGTGCATTCACCTGTAAAATGCTTTTAAAAGCAAATTGATTTGTTCTGATTAGAAAGCGTTTCGCATTCTATCTCTTTTTTGCAGCCTTTGTTGAGCTCTTTGTTCTCGCTTTATGACGCGCGACTATCAGGTTTGTTGTTGCCGCTCATATAATTGAGTTTGCCTATGGATGCGAGAGTGAGTCTGTGTGTATATAGCAATATAAGTATATATGTTTGTATGTGTGTCACATGCATACATACATATGCTTTAAGTGTTTTCTTTTTGTGATTTTCGCCATAAGCAGCAATATCGATTGTTATTGTTTCCGCTTCTAGTTTGTGCGTCACTTGCACTTTGGCTAGCGAGAGCAAAGTGCAAGAGAACGAGTGGAGTGTGAGAGAGCAGCTCATTAGGTGCTTAGTAAGTAACGGTGGTTAGGCCAGTGAGCTAATCTCAATATGACATCAGCTGAGCGAAAATAAACAAAGTTTAAAAACAAAAACAAATTAGCAAAAAAGAAGCTTTACAAGTTTATTCAGCTTGCAAGTCAGTCACAAGCCCAGTAGACAATACATACAAAGAGGACAGCATCAGCTGTTGCTCCTGTACAGTATGTGTGTGTTTGTTTTGCTTGTATGAGTGCTCGCTACTGCTGCTCATTACACTGTTTCGCAAACAACAATTGTGAGCGCTAACATTTCTGTTAACGTTAAGATGATGTCAGATTAACTCTGGTTAACTTTACACCGTAATTTATACACAACCGCAGTTTAATATTTATTTGTATTTTTATATAGTAGTCAGGTGATGGTTTCCTTTGCTGGCTAGTGTACTTTTCTGCCATTACCTATATTTCATAATAAATGTGTGCATGTCATTCCTATTAGAACTGGTTGTTTGCATGTTCTAATAAGCAAAACGACGCCAATACACGCTCACACACACTTACACAAATAAACAGATACACACACGCACACGTACTGATAGGCGCTGTTACAGTTCAGCTATTAGCACCGAATGTTCCCCTCACCCGTCATGCCACAACCCCTCCCTCATTCTACCAGCTGGTTCGCTTGTTTACTTGTCTAATTTGTCGTTCGTTGTATCTCTGATTTTTTTGCTATTTTTTTTTTGCTCAATGACCTTCTTTATTTGAAAGAAAGGCTTGAGTAGGTGTGCAAACGCTTGTTTGGGGCAGATGTTAGCTAGCTAATTTGTTATAACTTACGTAAAATCCTGGTTGAAATTCATTTGATATGCTGCCATTTTAGAAATCTGTTACAGCTGTTTTGTCAATGCGAAAAGTTTCTTATTCCACACACTTTCACTGGTCTTTTTTGTTTGTTTCGTATTGATTTAAATTTTTATTATTTTTTTACTCTTTTCACAATTTAAAACGCAATAAATTAACAAAGAGTTAACACTGAGAGTCGATTTTTAAATTATGAGATACAAATTCGATTTTCACAGTTGTTTTTGTCCGTCTTTGTTGTTTTTCTACGCTCTTCTTATTTGCTTCTGTTACATTTTCAAACAAATGTTAATACCCAAATAGCTCAAATAATGTGAACAGTGCTAATTGAGTAACTTCGTTAAGTGAGTAGGCTTCGTTCAGGCACAACAATCGGTCATCTCTAATGTGTGCGTATTGTTCGACCACCACAGTTTATCGGTCGTCTATCGGTTCTCATGCGTCGAAAAATAAAGTAATAGTATAAAAGTAATTAAAAGTATGATTAATTCGTGCAATAAATCGTTTTGCATTCAGTGTACTTGAAGTGTAAACAAATGCCTTGCATAATTTGTACTGTTTCTGCTGATTTGCTAGTGTTTTATACAAGTTTTTGAGAGCCTAACACATTTTTTCAGCAGACGCATGAAAAATGGCGGCGTCTTCAGCTACGGCTGAATGTAAAGAAGAATGTAAAGATAAAGATGACGATGCATTAACTACAACGCTACATTCATGTGCAAATGATCCAGATTTTGCAGTAATATGTGCATTTTTGCAAAAATTTGCCAAAGATTTGGGCTTGGCTTTGCCAAATTTCAAGCATTTGCAGGAGTGGTTGACAAACAACGATGAAGGTACGTATGAGTGTATGCATGTGTGTGCGTGCATATGTATGCAGCTGTGCAAGTCAGGGTGTGTGTGTGTGTGTCGCAATTGAGAGAGAGAGAGAGAGCGTGACAGAATGAGAGAAAAAGAGCTTGATTGTTTGTATTATTGTTTGGTATGGAGTAAAGCGGAGACCGTAAAAAATGCAGCTGAAAGAGAAAATAAAAACAAAAACAACAACAATCACAACATTTTGATTAACATTACACGCGTTTTCTTTTTGTTTTTCAGTGCCCCAGCTGCGAGATCTTCACATTAAACTGTTGCGCAAGACACGCAAGACGGTTCACGAAAAGAGCTGGGAATCAGCTTTGAGTAAATTCTGTTTCGGCTATTCCCTGCAGGATGCCTGGGAGATTGAGCGCTTCGGCTACCGGAATTCCAGTCTTAAAGTTAAGCTACGTATTCTACGTGTTAGTACAAACTAGAAGCTTGACTTCGCATTTCATGTTCCTTATTAATCCTTCGATCTTTTGCTTTCAGGAACTACTTGAAAGTCAATTTGAACGTAATGCGAAGTTTCGTGCAAATATTCAAACGCTAAACGCGACCACATTGCGCGCTCAGCCCATTGGACGCGATCGCTTGGGTCACTCCTATTGGCTGTCGCAGGATGGCGATTGCAATTTGCGCATTTATCAGGAGCATTTGGACGAGGAGATATGGCAGGTGGTGGCTACAAATCGTGATGAATTTGTTAATCTCATTGCACGTCTACGTGGAAATGAGGTAGTGCTGCCCTCCAAGGACATTGGCGAAGCGGATGAAGATACCACAAGCAGTAGCAGCAGCAGTCAAGCTGCACCACCGGCCCCACCAACTATACTGCAGCCGGACCCACATGATGAGGATTCGCATGAAGCGAAAGTGCCCAATTTAAAGATTAAGCTGCGCACTCCCGAGCAGCAGCAACAGGAGCAACCGGAGCCAGAGGTTAAGCCCAAGAAGGTCAAGGTGAGTCAATGAGCTAAAGATTACATTTTCCTTTGGTTACACAGTTTCCATTGCAGCCCCTGCTTATTACACAAGGCAAACTGGGAGGATCGCCTGCACCGGCCAAGAAACGGCCGTTGGAGGATGTGGACAATAGTCCACCGGTAGCATCTGAGGATCATCAAAAGAAGCAGCGACCTACGCTGCTCGACACAAAACGTATTAAAAAGCCAAGTCGGTATGAGAGCACCAAATCCGAAGATGATAACGAAGTGGACTCGGAGGACTCGGAACTGGATGAGGGCGAAGAGGAGGAAGAGGAATCGCTCGACGGAGAGGAGGAATCACTTGATAGTGCTGCTGCTGACGAAGATGAGAACGAGCAAAAATTTAACGAAGAGGATGAAGAGGATGATGATGATGACGAGGACGACGAAGTTGGCGAAGATATTGAAGAGCCCACTCTAATAGTTCGCGGACACGGAGATGGTCATGAATGCCAAGCGTTGCCAGATGATTCACTATTTCTTGGCGCTTTTGCAGATAAGGAAGCTGATTTAGATCCGTGCGTTGGTGAAACAATCGTGGAAGAACTCTTTTTTGTGCATGGCTCCGGAACTGGAGCTGAATGTCTAGTTGGAAACAATAGCAACAACGAAGCCAACGACGAGGAGGCCACCTCAAAGCCTGAGCCAAAGGCGACATTCTTTTTCGGCGAACCGGGCTGTCTAAAACTAAGTCCCATTAAACAGACGCCAAAGCAGGAAACAAAAAGAAGCATATTCGATAGCATAGGCGACCCAGAACCAGAACCTGAGAAAACGAATGGAGAGAGTCGAAAGTCCAATGAAACAACGGATAATGATAACGAGAAAGTAGCGGCAGTGCTTAATGGGAATGAGTCACCGGACCAGAAACAGGAGGACAATCAGGAACAGCAAGAAAACTGCAACCCTAGCCGTGAGAGTGATAAAATTATTGCAGAAGATGATGCTAAAGAAAAGATGGTCAATAGAGAATCATCAGAAAATCTTGTTGAAAATGTGTCTGAAAAAACGGAAGAAACAAAAGAAATCTCAATTGAACAAAATGAAGAAAGACCTGAAAAGTCAGAAGAAGAAAGCGTAGAACAAGTTTATAAAGTGAGGGTAATAGAAACGACAAATGAATCAGTGGAAATAGTAAAGAATACAATTAAAACGGAAGCAACGAACGAAAAAGATGAATTGGAAACTAGAAAACACGTTGATAGTGTTGCTGAAAAAAGAGAAGATAATAATAAGTTAAATATGAACCATGTTGGCAAGGAAGAGCTAAATGAAGAAATCATTGAAGAAGCAGCGCCAGTTGCAGCTGACAACAACGCAGCACCTAAACCAACTGAAGAAAGCAGTAAATCTATCCCGAATGAAGAAACTGAACCACAGAAAACTTTAGCAGTTGAAGCAGCTGGAAATGGAGTCGAAACTACAGATATTGACAAAGCAACTGCAACTGCGGGTACTGTTGCAGCTAATGTATTAGCAGCACCCGCTGCGGAAAACAGCAACAAAACTAAGTTAACAGAAACAGTACAAAGTGAATTGCCTAGCACCTCTAAGGTTGTAATCCCAAATGATAATCAAAACACAACGCCTAAGGAAAACAAAAGCGAAGCGACGATCTGTGAAGCAAAGGAGCCGAAGGAAAGTAAAATAGAGAGCCAGACCAGAAAAGCAATGTTGCTGCCCAATCGGAAACGTCGTTTGGCCGATTTTGCAGCACCGGCTGCACGTCATTCCACATCCGAAAGCGAAATCGATATACATGGCGAGCTCCAGCTGGAAGATGAACAACAGTTGGATGACGATGATTTGGATATTGGTGGCAAGCGTATTAAAATGCGTCCAAAGATTACTAACGTCGAAGTACGACGCAAGGTGGAGGCTCAGAAAACACAAATTGAGGAAACAACCTCGTCGAGCGGCGAGGAAGATGCGCGCAGTCGTCGCAAGATCATAGCGCCAAAGCGCCATCTGGAAAAACCCAATCCGGTGAAGCAAAAGCCCACGCTGGCTGAAATCATTGAGAAGAAATTAAAGAAGACGCCAGAGAAACCAAAAGATGAGCAGGAGCAGACAGCTCAATTGGTCGAGCAGCCCATAGCCCCGCCAGTGGCCATGCCCGCGCCCACACAGGTGCCTGCACAGCCAGTAGGTGAGATCACGCCACCTATAGCGCAAAGAATAGAACCTGTACCCTTTACACCGCCCAAAAAGTCGCCCATTACAAAGCCACTGAAAAAGAATTTGCTTACGCAAATACGCCAAGAGGAGAGCGACGAGGAGGCAACACCAAGAAAGCGAACCAATAGTGAAACAGTTGTGACTGCAATTCCAGCTCCAACAAGCCAAGGCTTCGAATCCACATTACAACGCAAACGACGCAGCAGCGAGGAATCAAAGGACTCCAAGGAGGCGAGCGTCAGCGAAGAGTTGCCTGCAATAAGCGAGAAACACATGCGCAACAATGATCAGCAATTCTTGCAGGAGGAACCTTCGACCGTAGCTCCAGAATCCCATCAAGTCAAACAGGAAACTACAGTTATTCGGGAAGAAATTCCAGAACAGGAGTGGCCACAACAGTCGGCGAAGACTACTGTGGTTAAGCAAGCTTCGCCTCCTGTGGTTAGGCAAGCTTCGCCTCCAGTGGTTAAACAAGCTTCACCTCCAGTGGTCAAGCCAGCTGTGTCTCATCTGGTTAAACAAGCAACACCTCCACCAGATAAGCAAGGCACAGCTACACCCGCTAAAGAAACCACGCCGCCTCCTGTTAAGAGGGCAACATCTTCGCCAGCTAAGACCGCAACATCTCCTCCAGCTAAGAGATCCACCTCTCCTTCAGCTAAGAGAGCAACATCCCCTATGGTCAAGAGGGCAACATCTCCTTTAGCTAAACGATCAACATCTCCCTCAGTCAAGAGGTCAACGTCTCCACCGGCGAAGCAAGCTACTCCACCGCCGTCAGCTACTAAAAAAGAAGCTCAGGCGGTCAAGCAGGCAACGCCATCAACTCCCAAGGAGGATTCACCTCCGCCACCACCTGCTGAAACTCAAGGGCGACGCTCTGGACGTCGCGGCGGCACCGCAGTTGTCTACTCGGAGCTGCCGCAGCCCAAGCGCACTCGAGGTGGCCCCAAAGAAAAATCTAGTACTGAAAGTAAGCAGCATATCAAAGAAGATCCACTCAAAATCGAAGATGAGGAGCTAGAGGAGAAACCAGCAATTAAGCCCTTGAAATCAACAGCTAAAACAAAGTCGCCAATCAAAGAGGAACCTAAACAGGAACCAGCGGCTAAGGAGAAAGCGAAAAGCGAACCCGTCGCCAAGCAGGAACCCAAAAGCGAGGAGGAAATTAAAGTCGAGGAGGAATCTAAAGAGCCAACGGAAAAACCAAAGACTTCAGTGCCTAAGGAGGAGCTGCCCAAGCCGGTTACAACGCCTGGAGTTGGACGTGGGCGAGGTCCACGTAAGAAACGTGAGGTGGACACTACCAACATTATTGATACCAACGACTCGGAGACGCCAGTGCGCCAATCCCGTCGCATAGCGCAGCAGAAAATCAAAGAAGAGGCGGAGAGGCGCAAATTGGAGGAAGTCGCGTTAAGGACAATGAAACAGCAGCTGAAGAACAAAAAAAAAGCCGAAAAGGAAGCGGATCCCACAGTACTAGAGCCGTCAGCTGAGTCGGAGTCCTTTGAGTCGGCAAGCGAAGCTGAAGAGACTAAGAAGAAAATCAAAAAAAAGTGTCCTGGCAAGAATGGCGGGTGGTCATCGGACTCCGAGGAGCAAGCCGAAAGTGAGGAGGAGGAAGAAGAGCCACCACATTACGATACAGATCCCGGCTCGCCACTTTTTAGATCCGATCATGAATTCTCGCCCGAATCGGAAGTAGAAGATGATTCTCAGGTGGTTCCGATGAAACGCGCTCGAACATTGCGCAAGGAGAATGCGGATGATAATGAGGAATATGCGGCCGCTGCGGAAGCGGACGAAGCGTGTCAGAAGTGCGGCAAATCGGACCATCCCGAATGGATACTACTCTGCGATACGCCCGACTGCAACAAAGGCTATCATTGTTCCTGCCTCAGCCCCGTGCTCTTCTATATACCCGAGGGCGACTGGCACTGTCCGCCATGCCAACAGGAGCAGCTTATCGCTGCCTTGGAACAGCAGCTGCAGCAATTCGATGATCTGGTTGCCCGCAAGCATCAGGAAAAACTTTTAGCCGAGGAAGCGGAGGTAATTTTTAGCTATTACATTGGTTTCTTTGCTATAAATATGTCTGAAATATGTGACTCACCTGAAAGTTCTGAGATCTTCCACTAAATATAATCTAAAACTAATAGCGCTTTACTATTCTTTATTATAATATTTATCAATTTTAATCTTAAAAGCGCCAAGCGGTAGCCGCTGCAGCTGCTCGGACCGCCAGTGAGTTGGAGGAGCGCTCTAACACCAATGCTCGCAAAAAGAATGATGACAAAGACGATGACGAGGATGATGAGGACGATGACGATGATGAAGATGACGACGATGATGATGGCGATGCATCCAGCAAGGCCAACAAACGCGCCAAGGCGGAAAAAACGAAACGACGACGTGGTGATGGACGCAGCAATCGACGAGCAGCTAAGCGAGGCACGCGACGCCGTCGCGGAGGGAAGGACGATGGATCGGATAGCGCTAGCAGCGCAACGAAGAGTGGCAAACAATCAGCCGCAGGTGGTGGTGGACGTTCTTCCAGCAGCAGCGGAAGCAGCAGCAGCAGCAGCTACTCTGATTCGGATGACGAGCCCATTTACAAGCTACGCAAGCGGCGACAGATCAATGTCAGCTATCGCCTCAATGAATACGATGATTTGATTAATTCGGCGTTAAAGAAGGAGATGGACGAGGTGGCTGGAGCTGGAAATCTGGGCAGGGGCAAGGACATTAGCACTATTATCGAGGCGGACAAAGAAAAAACGCGACGCGAAGAGGAGGGCGAGCAACCCGACGAGGATGAGTCGCAAGTGAAAGCGACAAAGGTTACGACAGACACGCAGGAAAAATCAAGTAATGAGGACGACAGCAACGACGAAGATGACGAGCAGCCATTGAAAGCTGTTAAACAGTCGAAGAGTAAAGTTTCTCAACCGGCTAAAAAGAAGGCACGCAAGTTGACTACGTTGGATGTGAGCTCCGAGGAAGATCATGGCAGCGATGAGGACTTTAAGACTTCCAGTTTCTCCGACGACGATAGTTCACAGTCTGCATCTGACGATTCCGACTCCAGTCTAGAGGTTTATCGTCGGCCTGGGCGTGGTAAAAAGCAGCGCAAGGCAGCAAGACGAGCGGCACGAGAACGTCGTAAGGATCGCAAGTTTGTGGTGGAGGAAAGCGATGAAAGCGACGAAGAGGAGCAACAAAAACGATCCAAGTCCAACAAGTCTCATAAGAAGAAGAAGAAGGATGATTCCGATTATACGGAAACCGAAACGGACGACGATGAAAACGGTTCCGAGCTATCGGAGAACATGGATAGCGCAGATCTATGCGATGACACGACTAGCGAGAGCGAGGACGGTGCCTGGCATCCATCGAAACGCAAGAAGCCAGCTGCCAAGAAATCTTCGACTGCCATTGCACGCAAATCTCCCAAATTGAAGAAACCTGTAATTAAGAAGACCAAACAGCTGGAATATTCAGATGATGACATCAGTGAGAGTGAGGAGGAAGAGGACGAGGATGATGATGATGCAGTGCAGATTGGCGCTAATGGTGCACCGATGTCGGGCAAGGGTTCAGGCAAACAGCCGCGTTCGCAGCCATTAAAGAAGACTACGTCAACGACGGGCTCGTCGGCGCAGGCGCAGGCGTCTGGCAAAGGTAAAGGCAAAGGCAAGAGCACCAAGAAAAAGAAGAAGGCCCCTTCATCGGATGAAGGTGGCGGTGGCGGTTCCGATGAGCGAACGCGTACACGTGGCCGTCGCTACGCCTATATCGAGGACTTTGACGACGACAGCTCCGATGGGGGCATCAAGCCAGGAGTACAGCGTCCCGATACACCGCCAGAAGAACGTCAAAAGTTTATACAGAAGCAGGAGGAGATCAAACGCATGCTTGCCGAGAAGAACGCGGAGGGCGCGAAACTGGCAGCAACGCCTCGACTAATACCAATCAAGGGATCAACTACAGTGGCGCCCGTACAGGAGAAACGCACGCCCACAAAAAGTGGTGCCGCTTCTGGTGCAGGTGATTCGCTGTCAACAGTGCCGTTGTCTGTGATACGTCAGGCTAAGGTGTTGGACATTGATTATTTGCATCGCAAAGGTGAGGCCATTGATGATCTGGATGATGTGGACTCCGAGCTGGATGATACCGAGCTACCCGATTTGCCCGAGGACATGGAAGATGCGATTGCACGCATGGTGGTGGAGCAGTTCAATTCAGATACTGCTGTACGTGAGTTGCCTGCACCGGACGAGGTGTTGCGCACCACGCCAGCTAAATCTAAGGTGACGAAACAACAGCCCACCACACCGGAGCAGATGCCAAGCGCCTCCGGGCTGCAGGAGCCTATGCGCAAACGCTTGCCTATGCCCACAATGCATCCGCCGCTGCTGCGTCATCAGTTTCCATCGCATGGCCCAGCCGGTGGGCTACCAGCTTCACTTCTACCTCCACCGCCGGGTGGACAACAACAGCATCCCCCGCCTGGCATGCACCCAATGTTGCAGCGCCATTTGGCACCGCCACCACAGGCCATGCAGCTGCTGCAGAGCGCTCTTTCCGCACCTCTAGGTCAGCCACTGAGCCGTGCAAACTATGCGTCTGCACAGCAACAACAGCTGCCTGCCATGCAGCGATTGCCACTGGGCATGTCAATGCCGGTTGCTGCAGCCCATCTCATGCAGGCAGCCGCTGCAGCTGCTACAGTGCGCGGCCCAGCGCCTGTTCCAGCACCCGAAGCCAAGCCACGTGGTCGTCGAAAAAAGGTTACGCCACTGCGTGATCAGTTGCAGAAGCAACAAACCGCCGCAGCTGTTACAGCAGCCACCTCGTCGGTGGGCAACGAGAAACCTGCGCCTTCTGGCAAGGCGCAGCCACCGCCAACGCCTCCACAGCTCTTTAAGCCTCATGAAGATGCACCAGTCACCGTCGCCCAGGCTTCCGTAATCACGCGCATGCCCATGCCTTCATTGCTTCCGCCGGCACATACACGCGTGCCACCAGCATCACCGGGAGCTGGCATGTATCCGAGTAGCGCGGAATTGGCTCGTTTTTATTCCCAGCCATTGCCGCCCAGCTCTGCGCTGCGCCCCACATATGGGGCACCGCCGCCATTACGTGGCGCGCCACCCACGTCAACAGCATCTGCATCGCCTGGTAGTGCATCCAATGCGCGTCCGCCGCCCTATCTACATGGCCCAGAACACCATGGTGGTCCTCCGCCGCCAGGCTCATTGGCTAGCGTCTATGGCGCCGGTCCGCCACCGGCTCGTCATGCCTCACCGCATCTGAATCCTTACAGGTAAGTTAAGTCAGGGGGAGATTGAATTGTTACGGTTAATATAAATATATTTCATTTGAAGAGCACCGCCCATTTATGGCAATCCGAACTATCCACCGCGTGTGGCACCTCCTGGCAGCGCCAATATGCGACCTGGTCCAGTGGACTATGCAGCCGGTGCGCGTAAGTAGCATTAAAATCTAATTTAAATTCTAGTTCAACTCTTACTTATAATAATCTTTCTGTTTTAGGTGGCTATCCACCCTATGGCTATTATCCACCGCCGCTGACTACGCCGCCTGCGCACGCGTCTGCGCCCAGTTCAGTGATTGTGAGTGCGCCGCCGCCGCCTCCTGTCACACCCACAAATCATTCAGTTTCGGCATTGACGCGTGGCAAATCACCAGCACCAACTCCATCATCAGCACCACCACAACCACCAGCACCAGCACCAGCACCAGCTCCAGCTCCAGCTCCAGCTGTGCCTGTCGCTCCGCCGCCTGTATCAGGACCACCGTCTGCACCACCAGCAGCTGTCACACCAGAGGTGCATAAATCATCGGTGATAACCAGCAAGAAACTCATCACACTGGAGGCCTACTCCAATATCAAATCGCCGCTGGCTGTGGTTGGGGATGCCTCAGCCGATTCGCCAGCACCCATTGCCGAGGAGGATTCCAGCTCGGCACACGGCAGCAGTAGCGCCGTTGTTGCCGCGAACAGTGTTGGAGGAGGTGTCGGGGAATTCAGTGGCCTGGTGAGCTACTTCAGCTCCCAACAGGACGATTATGATACATAACAAACGCCGGCGGCAGTCCAAGCTTGTATATAATGTAGTTGATCTATAATATAGAGATGTTTATGTGTGGCGTCTGTGAATGTCCTATAATAAGAAGGGATGTGGCTAGTCCCCGTTTTAGGCTATTTATTGAAAATTTCAATCCTCACACACACCCACACCCACAACCGCAATTGAAAGTGCATATAAAAAAGTAGCGTAAAAAATGAAACCATGAGAAATTCGTCAACTCGTTTGTTTATAAATTAAATATATATTTATTTTAAGTTAGGCTCCTATTTTCTTGACCATATGCTCTATGTGCTCCTAGAGTCTCTTCAACAACAGCAGCAACTTAAGTATTTTAGTTTAATTGTATAGTACGATGCATGCATGTTCGATTTGTTAATGTTTAGCTACCTATATGGCCGATCCATTATCGAGCTATATCAATTATAGAAGCATTGCATAATTATGATAATAATTTATATACCTACACTCTACCCTATATGATATATACGTATATGCATATATAGTAAACTAATTTAAACTAAACTAAAAATAATTAACAGCGCATATTATACAAAGTTAAATTACTTAACAACTATGGATAAAATGACGTATACTACAAATGAAATTAAAGAGAAGCAAATTATCAAATAAAACTAAAATTAGTTGAATAAAATTACCTTTGTATGTTTATTTTTATTGATGTACATTGATAGATATGCATTTAAAAGACAATTTCAACCTTTTGTTAGACTCATGAACTTAAATACATCAAATTTGAGTTTAAGGTTAATTAAATTCAACTGAAATAAGACGTGGATTAAGGAACTGCTCGGTTGTTAAGGGGCTTCAGATAAAAATAATAACTAGTTCGCCAAGTTTTAATTGTTTTTTGGCTTTGCCTTTTCAAATTTGCCAAACCCATCCGATATTATCTAATAGATATACATATTTAAATGAATATATAGTGCGACTGCGTGCGCTGATATCTCTATGAACATTTAGACAATGGAAATTGATTTTATAATATTTGCTTAACAACTTTCAAATCTTATTAAGTATATGCATGCAGGTTAGCTAAGTCTTTGTGATCTTTTGTTAGCCAATTGCATTCAAAAGCAATTTAAAAGTTTTAATTAAGTTTTGGTAAGGCTTATGGACTTGTATTAATATGTGTTTCTCCTTCTGTTAAAACTCATTTTTTCTGATCATCAACTATGCATACACACATATTTATCTTACAGTTCCATGATTTTTAAGCTAAATCTGCTAAGCTGCGGTCTTCAAAAACCCCCCTGAAACTTTAAGTCTTTTAATAAATCATTACTAACCAAAAATCCAAGTCTAACACATGTTAAATGTTGATTCATCAAGGTCTGTCGTAAAGCTTAAGCTGCTGACTAAACAAATTCAAGTCAAAAAGCCCATCTTATATACAAGGCGCAAAGAAGTTCAGTTCTTAAATATTGAAGAATTCAGATTAAATGAAGAGGAAGCACTTAAATCTTCTATATTTTAGAGCTTAGAAAGAATTAGGAATGAAGAAATCGAAAATTGTATACGACTTGGTTTGAAACAGATAATCTTTATGGCTATGAATAATTGGGAAAACCTACATCATTTAAATTTAAAAAAAAATTAATTAATAATAATTATGAAATACATGTTCCAACAGCTTATAATTAATTACAGAGTATCTATAACTCGAAGACCCTCAATAGCAACAGTGAGAAATAAGAAAAATCTTGCGGAAAATTCCACAGCAAAAATGTATAAAAAATAATTAAATTCATATTATTATGTATTTACCGTTGCAACAGCCTACAGTTAATAAGAGGATATTTGTTAGTCGAATGACTACAAAATATTTTACAAAGCAAAATAATATAAATTTGACCAAAAGCTCAAAATTTAATTGAACTGATTACCATGAAGTAGTTAATGCAAATGACTTGCAAATTGGAAATTGATTTATTATCAAATTACTTTGCTAAGTAATTGCAATAAATTTAAACAGTAAACAGTAAACATTTAACATGTATCACAAATGATAATTAAGTTTTGGAGTGACAGCGAGGCTTCGAGCCAAGAGACGTGCGGAATCTTTTCAATCTTTTTGGTTTTTGCATTTTCCCTTTCTCATTTTGACGTTTTGATTCGTTGACATTAATTTCAGAGCATCTTTGTGAACAAGTTTCATTTTTATTTCATATTTCTGTAGACTGTGCTCATTTCTTGCGAAAAGGTTTTGCATAATCTCGCTGGGCTTTTTGTAAGCACTCGAATTTTATGTACGTGGAAGTCACGCAATGGTGAGGATCGACGAATAAAGAGATGGGTGTATTTGGTAATTTAATTGGTTTTATATTTATATACATATATATTTATTAGCTAAAAATCTCAACAGAAACTTTGCATAATAACAACAAATGATCAACAACAAGGTGCCGGAGGCCACTTATTAATTTAACAAACGGCGCTCCAAAGATGAGGATGGGGATGGGCACTTAGAAACGGAAGCGTTTGGCTGGCACGTTGTACTCGTATCCGTTGGAATCGCCGGCTGGGCCGGAGAATATGGGAGCAGGTGCTGGAGCAGAGTAGATTGGGCCGGGAGCTGGTGCTGGAGCAGAGTAGATGGGGCCGGGAGCTGGTGCTGGAGCGGAGTAGATGGGGCCGGGAGCTGGTGCTGGAGCGGAGTAGATTGGGCCGGGAGCGGGTGCTGGAGCGGAGTAGATGGGAGCTGGAGCTGGCGCGGGAATGTCCTGCACAGGAGGCAGATACTCAGGTGCTGGCAGAGAAGGAGCTGGAGCGTTGTACTCGGGTGCGGGTGGCGAGTAAACTGGAGCTGGTGCTGGAGCCGAGTATATGGGACCAGGTGCTGGAGCGGGAATGTCCTGCACAGGGGGTAGATACTCAGGTCCTGGCAGAGAGGGAGCTGGAGCGTTGTACTCGGGTGCAGGTGCAGACAAGACTGGAGCTGGTGCTGGAGCCGAGTAGATGGGACCAGGAGCTGGGGCAGGGGCAGGGTAGGATGGAGCAGGACCAGGGGGCAGGTACTCAGGGGCTGGCAGAGAGGGAGCTGGAGCGTTGTACTCGGGAGCTGGGGCAGGTGCGGAGTAAACTGGTCCAGGAGCTGGACCGGCAATGTCTTGCGCAGGTGGCAGATACTCAGGTGCTGGTGCTGGTGCGGGAGGAGAGTAAATCGGACCAGGTGCAGGAGCTGAGTAAGAAGGACCTGGCGCAGAGTAAGTTGGACCCCCAGCAGGTGCTGAACGGATGTCAATGTCGAACGCCTGCGATGGCTTCTCATACGAGTAGCCGCTGCCACCGCCCAGGTTCAGGTGAGAAACATCAGCCGAAACGGCGGCAATGGCGAACACAGCCAAGACGAAGAATTTCTGCAAATAGTAATAAAAGTCATAAAAGCCCGATTAAAAATAAGTCCATGGGCTGTTGATCCGCGTGCGATTAGTGTGTGACCAGCTAATTGGCAGGCCAATGTTAAAGGCAAATGGATTTAAGGTCAGCTTGCCAAGTTGATGGATGTGCTTATGTGACCAGCCGCCACTTGTTGCTCTGGCACTCGATGTGCTTACCATTGTTGTTGTTTGTTGTTGCTGAGCTTGTAAAGTTTTTGTCGAGCCGACGCTGTTTTGGTGACCAAAAGACGGACGCTGAATGATGGCCAGCTGCAGATGCGCCAGCTTTTATATACCCAACAAATTTACCGCACACACTCAAGATATACTCGAAGCAGATTTTTAATACGGATAAAGATTGTATGGCGAGTGACTGAGATGTTGCTTAAGTGCGAGAGCGAGACCGAGACCGAGACCGTGCGCGCGCTGATTAAAATCTCTCACTAGCCGGCCCTCGTCTCGTCGTTGCCCTCGCCCTGGCTCTCTCTATATCATTGTGTTGCGTTGGCTCTCTGACGCTGTTATCTGCATCAGCTGCTTGGGGTCAGTGTGGCGCATGCGTGGCCAGTCCGAAGGTTTTGCAATGCCAATAGGGCGCCTCAGCTACGGCTGACACGCCAACGCATTTGCATAGACCCACTCACACATTAATTATAAGGGCCAAGTGTAAGGGCAAATGTCAAAGTTTGTTAGCCCATATACGATATGTGTATGCCTGTGTGAGTGTATGCATTATGCATGACTAAATGTTTATTGGACACTAATTTTTGAATTTGCCACGGTGCTAATGGATGCGCCGCATACCGGGCTCAAGGATAACCCAACTCTTTAAGCACAGTAAGCCATGTATAGTTATTAAATTAATAATGTTTATAGCTCTGCCTGCTGCTACCGAGTTCGCCGTGAAGACATATTCACTTGTTGCCAGGGCTTCTCATTTTGTCATTTTAATTGTTTGCTTTTTTAGTTATTTACAGGTCTCATTTGTAAGCCCTTGCGAATATTCACTTTTACCCAATCGTTGCATTAGTTGGCGTTTCTTCGCTGCGCGGCGACACCTTTTCTTCTTTTGGTTGGGCGCGTTTTGTATTGTCGTCTTGGCGACCTTCAGACAGCCGACAAAACCTGATTAATTTCGCTTGTATTTATGGTAACGCCAATCAATGCATATTGGTTAATGTTTAATACATGCAATTCGGATGGCATGTTTCACTTAAAACAAAATCAAATCAACCGATCAACACTCACACACGTTTGCTTAGCCTACTTTAAAGCCCAAATCTATTGACCTGGCCAGCGGCCAAATTGGACACGCTTGGGAGGGGTCTCTGTAAAAGACGTAGTCTAATACCCTTAACCCAATTAAAAAGGGGTTCACATGCGCTATTATGTTTTCCAAAAGGGTATTATCGCTAAGCAACATAAGGTGTATGTGGTTTGATAAGAATGGGTAATTGAGTACTTTTAGTTATCTGTTATGTGTTTCTCGGGCTGTTGACTTGTTGAAAAGACTGAAGCCAGACTCTTCAAACTTGTATATCGTGCATAGCGTAGGTTTATATTATCGTGCGATATTTTACACATTTGCAAAATTCAAATAAAAAGTTTTACGCTCACTTAAATTCAGCTTAAATTTGGTATGTAAATATGAATAAATAATTAAATAAAATTATAATAAAAAATATAAATAAAGTACTATAAAAACGCAAGTAAGCCGAAATATTTTAGCATTAGCTCAGAGCAGAAAAAGCGCCAAATTTGGTATGTAAATATGAATAAATAAATAAATAAAATTATAATAAAAATATAAATAAATTACTATAAAAACGCAAGTAAGCTGAAATATTTTAGCTTTAGCTCAGAGCGGAAGTAAAGGTAGCTTATAGTCGTGCATACCCCACTAGAGCAAACTCACTCGTTAATTCATGTCCGTCTTCGAAACGTCACATAGTAAAAATGATAAAAATGACAAGCAAAAACCTCGAAATTGGCAAACTCACGTCTCCACTTTGGCTGCCCTGTTCAGCTATTTTTGGCCCAACTAATTAATCAATTATAGCCATCGGAACAGACTGAGTTACCACTAATTTAGGGGTAGGCTTAAACGATATTAACATGTGATAGGTTGTATAACAGGTTTTTTTTTAATATTTCTAGTTATCTGTAATGATTTATATTTATATTAGGAAAATATAATTTAATTTGGATTTATTTTTAAATAATTACAATATTTTTGCACGAAGTATTAGTTATGCATTTAGAGCAAGAGCAACAGCAGCAGCAACAGCAACATCATAAAAGTCTATTAATTAGTTTTACTAGACCTAATTGGTAAAGATAACCAAGCAAATGCCATGAAATTAGTGTGAAAAGCTTAGCGAAACTAACCCGTTGTGACTCAAAGCTTTTGAGTTTAAATAAAAAAAGCTGCGCGCTCTTTGTTTTGATGTTTATGCCACGACTTGCAACACTGCAGTCTTTAACGCTTATTGTTGTTGATCAACACTGGCCGTCGGTATTGGGGCAACACTTTTTAAAAAACCCGTTGAATCATAATTAAAAAATTCGAAGTGAATTTGAAGTGCTAATTAAATTTTGTAAAACCAAAAAAAAACTTGTTTTTATTTTTATTTAATTGGTCATTAATTATAAAAATTTATTAAACAATTTGTTACAAAGTACTCAAAAAAAATAAAAATATATAAAAACGGCTAATAATATTTCTTTGTTGTTTTGTTTTATTTTAAGAAACTTTCATAGTCATAGTCGTAGTCATAGTAAAAGATTCAGTTCAAGCGTAAGAACCAATTTTTGAAAAATTTGCGGTTTTATTCCGGCAATAGTTTCTTGGTAGAGCCAGGGTCGTGCGCTTGTCAGTGTTACCTTGTCAGCAAACAGTTGGCGTTGTAAAAGAGAAAATAATTCGAGAGGGATAGCAAAGCACGTATCCGACACGTCCGTGAGATGAGACCGCCTCCAGATTTCACCTTCCATTTTTTTAAGTTTTGGCCATAAAGTCAGCTAGATTCCTTCACACCATGCAATACTTAGGGTAAAATGGGTCGTTCTTCAATTCGATCGAAGCGAGGTCCCCATTTAATAAACAACACATGACTTCAATAATTTTGGAGTACTCTTCCACTTGTGTACTGTGTTCGCTCCAATGACTGTAGCTATGTTTCTGTGCTATGTTTCCATAGTGCTGATTATACATCATCATTCCAATTACAATAGACATGCCTATAAAATGTTTAGTTTAGATATATGATAGAGTAAGCCCATATGGAAGCATAACACTGTAGCTGTTGTGAGTATATATTAAGGATTTATCTTCTTTTGCTTAGTTACCTATGAGTAATTAACTGAAAAGCCAGACAACAACTAACTCAAGACTATTGCCACAAGCATAGCTAACTATAGATTACTAAATAAGTTGTCTTGAGTTATTTGTTGTCTGGCATTGAAGTTAAATATTCATAGGTAAGCATGTGATATAAAAAAAATTGAAGGACACAGAAACATGTACACTGAGTAAGTAAAGTTATGAATGTGCACAGCCTGGCCAAAGGGATGTTCTGAAACAAAATGGAATGAACACGAGCATAAGAATATACTCAACTGTCAATCGTCGTCATAATCAGTCAGATGTTCTCTATACTTGTTCCAATTTTTAACATATATGTCAAAACTTTCTCCATACAAATGTTTTTTTCTGAAGCCCAAGCATACATTATTAGTGTCTGGGCCTTAACGGCTTAGGCCATGGAACCTGCTTTATATGGCACTTCCGTTCTCTTCTGCAATATTTGCCGCCGCGACGAGCCAATTGTCAATTGTCAAAGTGTCGCCTGTGTTTGTCTATGAAGCAGCACAGTCTTACCCTCCCTTTTGTTTCTTGCTCTTGGCCTAATGTATTTTGACTGTCTCTGCGACACTTGCATTCAAGCAATACTCATTTGACCCAGCTGGCCATAGCTTGCATGTTTGCTTAGCGAAGCGTTAAAGGGTTTGCCACTTGCCCTTCTGGGCAACCAAATATAGGTATTACGACATCTATGTTACCAAATGATCATACATTGCTGCCTTATCTCACACGACATCAGAACTAAACGTATACCATGTATTTCGAGTAACCTGCAATTACTTTTAGATAAGAGCTGATGTTTCAAATAACACTTATGAGTTGAATGCTTGATATATTATTACGACAAATACTATATTGCATAGTCATCCGATTTAGTCAAGACCGACATATGTTCTGGCTGCACACAAAGATTTCAGTTAATGTATCCTGATGATAGGTTTCGAATCTTACTTATCTAGAACACACAAACTCTTAGGCACATAGACTTACATTGCTATTATGTAGACCTTTATAGACTGCGAAAGCCCCACACTTTCAACTCTCATTTGAATTGAGAAAACTCTGTGCATGGATGAAGCTTTTCTCAGTTATTTACGACGTTTTTTTTAATATGGCTTAAGCATATATTAAATATAATTTTCTTTAGCGACATTAGAAATCTTGAAGTTTGACTCCTTGCAACTTTTTATTTCATATTTCGAGTGAATTTTAAATTGGCCGACTTATGAGCTCGGCTTTTGCTACAGAATCGGATATATATCTGTATATCGGCACCAATAGGCAGTAGGAACCAACTAATTGTGCGCATATCCATCTGATTCTATAACAAAAGTGAACCATAAGAAGCAAACTTAACTAAGCAGCCTAACAGACTTAGCCTGTAAGAAATTGTAATACATGACAAGTACATTGAATGCGAAGCAAGGAATTTAGAAGCCATCACATCACTCATATTGCATTATTCTCACATTCCGTTGATGACTCACATTCATTAACAAATAGCCCAATACAAAGGCTTGAAACAAGCAGAGCCTACTTTATATTTTATGAGTTTTCTGAGTGTGTGCGTTGCCCTAATAAAATGATCTAATAAACCTTATCCAGATTTATTGTTGCAACCTTTTAGCAACCTCTTTTAGTTGTACATTGTTTGCTTTATAGCACAGCTCTTTGGGCAAGTTCGTTGTCTAAGTCTTTCGTATGTCAACAACAACAACAACAACAGAGTACTGCATTAGTAGATTCCGCTTCCGTTTACCATTTCGCACGTACAGGATTCTCACAGAGCTCTCAAATCCTGGCCCAGACTGGTAAATATTTGAAAACAGTCGCCGAAAAAATGCTAGAGAAAAACCCAACATAAAAGGCACATGTTCGCCTTGCCAGGTAATTAGCAGGATTTTCCAAGGAACTAGCAGCTAATCTCAATGCCTTGCCTAAGCTCACGCAGTGATCGGGCACCATAAAACGATCAGGTAACGATCGCTGAATTCGCCGCAAGTTTGGCGGGCTCACATGCCGCCATTTCAACAGAAGTCAGCGGCGTTGCGGCTTGCCGGCTGCTGATAGCAAGCAAAGCTTTTAGTATGTTTTTGACTGCAGCGCGTTGTGGACGTTGAGGCTGTCACGAGAAGTAGTTAAGTGTACGTACAGTGTGTGCATGTGCATGTGTGTGTGTGTGTGTGTGTGTGTGTGAAAGCCGTTAAGAAGTCTAGCACTGAGTAAGCCAACGAACGAGCTGGCAACAAAAAGCCGCCAGAGACAACTCTGAAATACAACAACAATAAAATCTGTAAAACGGGCACGTCGCGCTATTTTATTTTCATCTCTTCATCGTACTTTTCTACCTATCCATGTATTGGCTGCTCTGCGGCTCTCTACCTTCTTTCGCTTTGCCTTTTCTGCTGCCGTGTCTTGTGGTCTGCACACATGTGTGTGTGTGTGTCTCTGTCTCTTAGTCTGTTTGTGTGTGGACTGAAATTTCAGGTGCAGCCGCATTGAATTTCTTGAACAAGTTTTAGTCAGAGTTTGGCCTTCGTGTGGCATGGTACAGTAAACGAATTGGCTCCGTCGCAGAGTCTTTCGAGCAAGCCTTAAAATACTAAGTGCTAGAGTGTGTGCGTGTGTGTGCAAGTGGCTCAAACTGGATTTTGTACAATTGTTTATGCACTGCGTGCAAGTGTGTTTGTGTCTGTTGCCAAAGGATTTGTGTATTAAGTTTTTCTCTCGTCAAGATGCGCGTGCGCGAGGCTTTTGCAAAAAAGTCAACTTTTAGTGAAAATTTTGCAGAAGTGATAAACACTTAATAATAAAAACTCCTCATCAAAGTCCACACAAGCATAGAATAATAATAAAAAAAAACTATTTATTAAAATATTAATATTGATAAATGATACTAAAATTATGTGCTTAACTAACAAACAAACTCTTTAAACTAAACAAAATATTAATAGTTGAAAGAAAAGTTTAATGAAATCTAAATGAAAAACGAAAGGAAACAAATCTAAGCAATATATAAACAAAAAGCTTAATTATGATAAATATTTCCACTATTTAGATTCAGGAAATACTTTTAGTGCATTATTCTTCATATACATATCTATAGTATATATCTACAGTTAGCTGTTCGCAGTCATTGGTCTTTGTCCGGGTTTATCCATGCAAGTTAGCTGAACTTAAGCTAGACAGCTAACCGCTTGCTTGGTTCTTTTTGTACCACTCCATTAACTTGTCTGTGTGCCTATGCCTTTTGCACTTTACTTTAAACTGACATTAGAATTCGAGCGAATACGACGACTGCGTATTCATACTAACTTCGCATGCCAGCTGCGCATTTACGCTCCCATTAACCAGGTAGAAATTACAAACACATACACACACACATCCACACGGGAAACGGGGAAACAACAATAACAACTGGGCAACAAGTGCTTTGCGCAATGACCAAAGAAATTGAGGCAAAGAAGTAAAAAATAAAAAAAACAGTAGCTCGAATTAAATAAAAAAAATGCTCCAAAAATGGTGTAAAAATTTGCAGTTTGCGGTTGCAGCTGTTGCATGAACAGGAGGAGGCTAAGAAAACCAATTAGCCAACCAAAAATTGCTTTCAAAAGGGCTATAATTATTATGTTCAACAAGTTTGTGTCTTAAGTCATTTGTTGTATAGAACTGGATAGACTTGACTTCAACAAATATTTCTCTTAATTAACATAAAATATTTTTCTTAGATTTCTTTTACAAAATTGTTCCCATTGCCAGTTGAAAGGCATTTGGAAACGTGCTTAGCATCAACAAGCGACTCAGGAGAACTGTGTGAAGAATGTTTAGCCGCTTGTCTTTGCATGCATAATTTCCGAGACATTTAAATATTAAAGAATATAAATCATATATTTGTGTGCGTGCGTGTGTGTGTGATATACTTAGTAACGCCTTTCGAACGAAATCAACTCAGCTTAACCCAACTATCTCTATCTATAGTGCAGTAGCGTTTGGCCTTGCGCACTAAAAACGACGAACATCTATAAAAACTTAAATTAATAATAAATAAAAAAGTAAACTTAAAGTTGCCATAAACATCGAAAGAAGAGGAAGAAACAACAGCGACAACAACTGAAACTCCGTTGTTGAGCGTGTTGCATACGAAAACGGGAAACTTCAAGGATAACCAGCTGACATGCCACATAAATTGGATTATTAAAAAGCGGATCACGATATAGAGACGAACATAATACATATCGTGTATATAGGTTGCATATATAAGAGGTGAGTTGCATACAGAAATTGAATTTAAAATGGGCAGAGGAAGAGAGAGAAAGATTGGGTTTCTTATAAGTTTTGACTAAACTTCCAATTGTATTCTAAATATTGCTTTCTTACATACATATATACAGTGATATATTCTCTTATATATTCATTTATTAACAACTTAGCTAGCTTAGCTAGAATACATTCATATACAAAGCATTGTCACAACTCTGACAAACTTGAGCATGATATCTCATATTTTGAGATGCAAAACTTTAATTCCGGAAACATGAGTAACTTCCAATTCTTATATGTCAAGGTACAAGTTTTATGCGCATACAAAAAAAATCTTTTCGATTATTATTGATAAAAAAATCCCATTAGAATCGCTTTTTTTTGTTGGTTGCTTCAACTCTGAGCTGACATCATGCAACAAGCTTTTAAGAGCTGAAAACACATTTCATGGCACGCCTTTGCCTTTATATCCATGGCTGTACTCATTGCGCAAAAATGCGATTATTTATCGATTATCGATAAACAATGGGTAGACAAAAATGGCACGCTTTCATTTTGCCAAGCGACTAGTAATCAAACTGATTGTATATATATAGAGTGCTATTATGAATTGTGTTTAGGTAATTGATTGATCGAAGCGATTGTGACAAGCTGAAGACTAGAGACACAACTAAGCAGTCGTAGCACAGCACACACACGCATACCTATGCTATAAGTAGCACAGCAGCAATCAACATCAAAGAACAATTTCTTTTACTTTCTATAAAACAAAACAAAAGCACTGACTGTCTGCCGGCTTTTAAGTGCGTCAGTCAGTTTATCAGTTTGCCAGTTCGTCAGTTCGTCAGTCTCGCATTCGCTTGTCACATTTATTCAATAAAGGCCAAGTCAACTTCCAAGTGGAGAGTCGAAAAAGCGAGAGCGCTACGGCACAAAAGAGTTAACCTCAATTTTTTGAGACGCACTCTGCCGCATGTTGTTGCTTAACACCAACACCAACAGAAACAATAATAAAAAAAAAAAACTGTGTAGTCTCGTTGTTATTGTTAGGTTGTATACATTTTTTCGGATAGAAAATTTCACTAACTGGAAGTGAAATGCAGAACAAATGACGTGTTAGCTAGCGCCCGCTGTCCTCGCCGCCCGCACCTCCGTTACTTTGCTGTGAGATCTGTAAACAGAAAGCACATTTTGGCAAGCATTTTTATTTGCTGAGTTCATAAGCATTTAACGCTGGCCAAATAAACTTGTTTCGTTCGCTGGGCATTTGTGTGTGCCATGATCTTTTTAGTACAGCATCTTATGGATATTTATTGAGATGAGTTCTGCTTAATACTTTAGATAAATGAAATTTTTGTGTTAGCAAACCAGTCTGACTACTTTGAGCGCGTGTTTTACGCGCTGACTATCGATGATTAGTCATCATTTCATATATTGGCATGCGAATGAAACGGAAGTTGAGTGTTCGACTAGCTGCAAGTGCATTCATCATTCTTGTCTATCAAAAAGCAAAATACAGCTTAGCTTTCCCTCTCAATTTGTTTAATCCTGTTTCACTTGAATTCTGTCGATTGTTATTTTTAACATTCCATGATTTAATCCACATTCTTTAGATTTGACATTTACCCAGAATTTTCTCAACAGAAACACAATTTAAATGCCCAGCTATTATTTCTGTCTCTCTCCCTCTATAAACAGCAGCTGACGCCTAGACGGCGGTAGATAGACCTTAAAGCAACCCTAAAAGAAATCAAATTCGATTCACAAATCTAAAGTCATCCGCAGGTAATAATAACATAGTAGCACTATGCACACGCACAATGGAAAATACCTTAGGAGTTTTGTTTACCTGCTTTAAGGTGCAAGAAGTCATTTGAAACGTAGCCGAAACTAGACACATT